GTTGTCATCATGGACGAATCAGACCCTGCAGAGAGCATGGAGTCGCTGGTCTGACTGACTGGTCACTGGTCTGACTGGTTACTGGTCTGACTGGTTACTGATCTGACTGGTTCTACAGGTTACTAGTCCGACTGGTCTGACTGGTTACTGGTCTGACTGGTTACTGGTCTGACTGGTTTGACTGGTTGTACTGGTCTGACTGGTTACTGGTCTGACTGGTTACTGGTCTGACTGGTTCCTGGTCTGACTGGTTACTCATCTGACTGGTTCTACTGGTTACTAGTCTGACTGGTCTGACTGGTTACTGGTCTCACTGGTTACTGGTTTGAGTGGTTGTACTGGTTTGACTGGTTGTACTGGTCTGACTGGTTCCTGGTCTGACTGGTTACTGATCTGACTGGTTCTACTGGTTACTAGTCTGACTGGTCTGACTGGTTACTGGTCTGACTGGTTACTGGTCTGACTGGTTTGACTGGTTGTACTGGTTTGACTGGTTGTACTGGTCTGACTGGTCACTGGTCTGACTGGTTGTACTGGTTCCTGGTCTGACTGGTTACTGATCTGGCTGGTTACTGGTTCGACTGGTTATTGGTCTGACTGGTTGGACTGGTTACTGGTCTGACTGGTTACTGGGCTGACTGGTAACTGGTCTGACTGGTTATTGGTCTGACTGGAGTCATTAGTCTGAATGACCACACCGTAGCTCACACCACCACCCGAAGGCACTTAATTTGTACAACTCTGAGAAACGGAGAGAACTTTGGCGGACTTTCCCGAGGCCTTTTTTGCCAGAACTATTGGTTAAATGAATACCTGTAACCTGATTACCTTTTTTACAATGATGATATAATGTTTTTTGATATTTATTTGTTTCTTCATTATTTTGTCTTAATTATTATCCTGCTGAGGGTTTGCACCTGTTGTTTAAGTTGTTTCACGTGGGGAAAAAGAAAGCAGCTCTGTCCAGTTTGCACTATACTTTCAGTGTCACTGCCTAAAACCCTGTTAGATAATACAATACAGTTAGCTAAACCTTGGCTCCACTCTACACTACCCGCATTGGATCCCTTTTTTGGATTGTGGCAAAGAAAATACTTTCGCCTCAATTAATAAAGAATGAAGATCAAGGACGACCCTACAGGTCAACATGATCCTCCAGGCCAATAGATTTCTTAATAGAGACCATCCCAGTTCAGTACATTTTATTACAGTACAGCTCACCCAACATGCATTGCATCACTATCATCTGGTCAACACTTCTTATTCAGGAAAATCCACCTTATCCAAGGAAACTATATATCTGTAGAGATACTATGTTACTTATACATATTATAACTAACTATATTACCCAAATATCCCCATTCATATTTGTAAATTTTACCCATTACTTTGATTAAAAAAAAGTAGTATTACAACAACTACTGTGAACATTTATTGCTTTATATTAAGATTTATATTGTTTTGTAATATACACTACCGGTCAAAAGTTTTAGAACACCTACTCATTCAAGGTTTTTTATTTATTTTTACTATTTTCTACATTGTAGAATAATAGTGAAGATATCAGAACTATGAAATAACATATATGGAATCATGTAGTAACCTAAAAGGTGTTAAACAAATCAAAATATATGTTATATTTGAGAATCTTCAAATAACCACCCTTTGCCTTGATGACAGCTATGAACACTCTTGGCATTCTCTTAACCAGCTTCACCTGGAATGCTTTTCCAATAGTCTTGAAGGAGTTCCCACATATGCTGAGCACTTGTTGGCTGCTTTTCCTTCACTCTGCGGTCCGACTAATCCCAAATCATCTCAATTTGGTTGAGGTTGGGGGATTGTGGAGGCCTGGTCATCTGATGCAGCACTCCATCACTCTCCTTCTTGGTAAAATAGCCCTTACACAGCCTGGAGGTGTGTTGGGTCATTGTTCTGTTGAAAAACAAATGATAGTCCCACTAAGCCCGAACCAGATGGGATGGCGTATCACTGCAGATTTTTTTTTTTTTTTTATATTTATTTTACCTTTATCTAACTAGGCAAGTTAAGAACAAATTCTTATTTACAATGACAGCCTACACCGGCCAAACCCGGACGTCGCTGGGCCAATTGTGCGCCGCCCTATGGGACTCCCAATCACAGCCGGTTGTGATACAGCCTGGAATCGAACCAGGGGGTCTGTAGTGACGCCTCAAGCACTGAGATGCAGTGACTTAGACCGCTGCGCCACTCTGGAGCCAAAGAATGCTGTGGTAGCCATGCTGGTTAAGTGTGTCTTGAATTCTAAATAAATCACAGACAGTGTCACCAGCAAAGCACCCCCACACCATAACACCTCCTCCTCCATGTTTTATGGTGGGAAATACACATGCAAAGATAATCCGTTCACCCACACCGTGTCTCACAAAGAAACGGCGGTTGGAACCAAAAATCTCAAATTTGGACTCCAGACCAAAGGACACATTTCGTTGCAGCAATTCGACCATGAAGGATTCACACAGTCTCTTATAAACAGTTGATGTTGAGAAGTGTCTGTTACTTGAACTCTGTGAAGCATTTATTTGGGCTGCAATTTCTGAGGCTGGTAACTCTAATGAACTTATCCTCTGCAGCAGAGGTAACTCTGGGTCTTCCATTCCTGTGGCGGTCCTCATGAGAGCCAGTTTCATCATAGTGCTTGATGGTTTTTGTGACTGCACTTGAAGAAATGTTCAAAGTTCTTGAAATGTTCTGTTTTGACTGACCTTCATGTCTTAAAGTAATGATGGACTGTCATTTCTCTTTGCTTATTTTAGCTGTTCTTGCCATAATATGGACTTTGTCTTTTACCGAATAGGGCTATCTTCTGTATACCCCGCCTACCTTGTCACAACACAACTGATTGGCGCAAACGCATTAAGCAGGAAATCAATTCCACAAATTAACTTTTAAGAAGGCACACCTGTTAATTGAAATGCATTCCAGGTGACTACCTCATGAAGCTGGTTGAGAGAATGCCAAGTGTGTGCAAAGCTGTCATCAAGGCAAAGGGTGGCTATTTGAAGAATTTCAAATATAAGATATATTTTGATTTGTTTAACACTCTTTTGGTTACTAACATGATTCCATATGTGTTATTTCATAGTTTTGATGTCTTCACTATTATTCTACAAAGTAGAAAATAGTAAAAATAAAAAAATCCCTTGAATTAGTAGGTGTTCTAAAACGTTTGACTGATAGTGTACATGACTATATCCTTTATCAAAGTAAGCAGCTGGTTTTGTATACTGGATATCATTCCCCCTCTCGCCTTGTGTGGATCAAGACCCATAGTGTCCATTTTGTCCAACCAAGGTCTACATGTGGCTTGTCTTGCATCAACTGTTTTACTTTATATAAAGTTTACTTCATAAAACACAGCTTGCATCTTACCAAATGAATGGAGTTCTCGTAGTCTTAACATAATGTCGAGGGGGAAGTGTTTTTCTTTCATTATAACCAAAGACATGGTTGAAAATTGCAACAAGAAAGTTGTTTGCCCATAATTGGACTAAAACATTATATTATTACATGGTTGTTGCAATGTTACCACAAAGTTCTTAGAATGTGTCTCGGACAACGATCAGTCAGTCCTCCTATCATTATCAATTCACTAGAGATGGAACCAAGTGTCACATGAAGCCTTCATCCTAATGAAAGTCTATAGTGTAAGTCCATACTTCACCATGTGAAATTATGTTTGAACTGGGTTTTAACTAACCCCTACACCAAACCACAATAATATCTACTTTACTCATCCATACTGTTCCCTGTAGCTATACCCTGTACTGATACATAGATGCTGTATTTTCCTTTTTCTTTCATATTCTCTCTCGACGAGAAGCTTCTTAAATGAAGTCACAACTCTCCAACATTTGGAGAAAAGTCCTGACTTATTACATGCTCATGTGTCACATTGGGAACGGTTATTGGCAGCAAACAACCATTTTTTTGCATGTGTAACTTTTTAATTTATCTCTATCTTTATTATTATTAACTTTACACTTTATACATATATCATTTATAACATGAGTGTGATTTACTATTTCGAAGTCATGTACATATTTACTTCAAGGATCAATCTTCTTGGAAGTTATAATCTTTGCTGTGTGATCATCATAGACCTTTATTTTCATATGAAGCTTTTTTCTTTGTAATAGTATCATTGTACTCATTGTATTCGTGGTGAGTATGTAGGAATCAAGTCTCTGTGGATACAAGTAGACTGCCATCACCTTCCAACACAAGTCCATGCTGCGTCTAAAATGGCACCCTAATATCTATATAGTGCTCTATTTTTGACCAAAAGAGGTACACTATATAGGGAATAGGATACCATCTGGGACATTCACCGTAAATAATTTGTTGTTCTCTCGGGGTCAAGAATGTTATTCCTCCCCATTTTGAATATCAGACTTTTGCTATGGACTATATCAGACCAGTGTGTGCTATGGATGAAAAAGATCCCGGGAGTCACTGAGTAAAGCCTCCTCAACCCATCTAAGCAAGTTCAGCAGTCGTTCTATTTTGTAAACGTGAAGAAATGAAATGGTTTGGTCCATTTATTATATTGTCATTGTATGATAGTGCCATGGTGTTGTATTACTATGGTACTGTCATACGATATAATATTATTATAGTGTAATAGTGTTATTTAATACGTAAATTGTATTGCTATACATTAAATAAAGTATGGGTTTTGATGTACTTCAACCTGGTGTTGTCTATTTGTGTCAGATTTACCGTAGTATGAGGCAGGGTTTTAATTGTTCTGTTTTTATGAGCACATTTCTCTAGTTTCTATCCCCAAGGTCAGTTCTATTTATGGTCACAATGTCGCACTCTGCTGGTTGTCAGTAGTTGGTTGACAGTTATCCCTAACCTCGCCATTATGCACATTGGTTTCTCAGTGTGCAGGTTGAAAACATCTCATGTCCCCTTTCCCTGGGTCAAATAGGTAAGTGACACAAAGAGAACAATTGTGTATTTGTACAGTAATTTTATTTAGAGGCCACAGCTCTTGCATATTACAACTTGGCTTTCATAAGGCAAAAGCAAGAATGAATCCACCAGCTAATTTCACACAAAACGGAAAGCATTCGGAGAGGGTGGGGACCCACGGGCATGCAGCAATGGCTCAGAATGCAATGTACAGCGTTGTGTATATACAAACAACAGTGAGACCCAAAGAAATGCCACACATCTCATCCTAATCAAATACGCAATAAAACTAAAAAGACAGACCAACTTTCATTTTGGTAAATAAAAAAACATTTTATTTTTAGCTCTCTTTTCTCTGTAAACGTGCAACTAAATTTAAAATAGATTAGAACCTGTTTCAAGGTCGTTTCAACAACGTAGAAATAAAAATATAATCTCCAACAAGATATCAAAATGGAGCTTTGAGAATATTGCATTTCTAGAATACCCACTCATTTTAGTTCAAGATGGCTGCTGGACGATGTCTCGTTAGTGATAGGGTGAAAGATTATGAGGTCACAAAGCATTGACACAGATGAGGAAATGGACGTTCTAGAACATACTATGGTGGTGAGAGTAGAGTGAGTAGACGAGATGTTTATCCTAAACAGCATTGAACTTAAATACAGAGGGTAATTTTCAGTTTGAAGCAGTTGGCATCCACTTAAAGACAGACAATACAAAGAAAAGGGTCTATACACTCATCGCCACGACAATGTACCATTATAATGAATGTAGAATACAACAAAGTGCCATATAGGTTTGCATTGGACAGGGACACACCTAATAATCTCACTCAACATTGTCAAACAAATGGTACTCCATATTGCTTAGGAACACAGAAATGAATTTAGAAATCAATGAGTCAAAGATATCATCGGTGCTATCTTCATCATGACACAGCTAAACTGTCAATCATGGTTTATTTTTTCAACATCTTTATTTGTATTATTTTTCCTCAGCATAGTAATTACTATTTTTATTGTTTATTATAGGTCCTTCATCGGCATTTCGAGATGACAAAGAGGTCCTAGAGTGGCTGTCTGAGTAACAGAGTTGGTACATGCATTGGTAAAGGGAGGCGTCAGTGCCAGTTCTGAGGTCGGGCGTCACTGGGCTCTAGTCATCGTCTTCGTCCTCTTCGTCGCTGTCCTTCATGGAGATGCCCCCCATCCCTCCCTCCTTCATGGACGCGTTGGCCTCCTCCAGGGTCAGCCTGTTCCTCACCGTGTCATACATCTTACTGTTCAGGGTGGAGTCTAGCACCCCCTGCAGACGGAAGTCACGGTACTTTTTCTACAAGGAGATGGGTGATTAAAAGAGGGATTAGCAGGTATAGAGGGATGAAGTAGCTAAAGGCTCGACAAAGAACGTGCCACTGAGCTAGCGGTAGACTTCATGCCATGATAATCAATAACAGTAAATATAAAGAGATGAGGTTCTCTCCAATCACCTTCTCCAGTGCACTATTAACCCCTACCATACCATTTTAGCTTTGTTCATACTGGCAGTTTGAAGTGACTCAATCCTATTTTTTTGCATATTCGATTTGAATCTGATCTTTTTCCTGTAGTCTGAACAACCAAAACCACATGGAATCAGATATTTCAAGCCACATTTCATAAAAATATGATTCCTGGCCATGCAACCTGTGTCTGAATGGTCAAATCTGATTAATTTGCTCTCAAGTGTTTTTTTGACTGTTATTTGGCATATCTTGATGCTTGCTAGCTACTCTGTTGACAGTTTGACAAGAACATGTGGTAGCTAACTAATAGGCTTGGACAATATACCATTTATACCATATACCGGGGTATTTCTAAATAGAGACGGTATGACTTTCAATACCGTTGCAGGGGGTGCGTCCTACGCCACTGCTTATAAGTTAAGTATAACTATAAGAAATCTAAGATGTGTCAAATAAATGATATCCAGCTCAGGGCTCCAGTAATGCATTTGTTTTGCTAACTTGCTAACTAAGTGGCTAGTTGTCAAGATACAGCTTCTTGGCTACAGCAGAGACATGTGTGCACATTTGGTAATAGTGTATACCCAGGTATGTTACAGAAACAGTATGACGGTGTATAATCTGGATACCGCCCAGCCCTACTAACTAGCTTGTTAATTGTTTACAAATAAATGAGTGAATGTGCTAGAAAGCTAAACAGCTACCTAGCATGCTAGTTGACTGCTGGGGCTAGCCAAAAATTACTTGTTTTGAAAGTTGGATCATCTTATCCTTTGAGGCTTTAAACGTGTTCTTACGCTATGATTTCGAACATTCAAAGCAGCTGGGAGACTTCCATGGCATGCATTGTTGTCACATTAGCTTGGTACACAACAACTTCTGACTGAGAGAGAGCATGAGCACCACCACCACCACCAATCAGCCTACACCACTGCACACACACCTGTCATTACCATGACAACTAGCGTAGCCATGACAGCAAATGACTAGTCTGAACACGCACACAAATCCAATTTCAAATAAAATAAAATCTAATTGTATTTGTAACATGCGCCGAATATAACAGGTATAGACCTTACAGTGAAATGCTTACTTACAAGCCCTTAACCAACAATGCAGTTCTAAGAATAATAAATGTTAACTAAAAAATAGATAAGTAAAAATAAAAAAAGAGAATTAAAGAGCAGCAGTAAAATAACTGTAGCGAGGCTATATACAGTGGGTACCGGTACAGAGTCAATGTGCGGGGGCACAGGGTAGTCGAGGTAATTTAGATAATATTTACATGTGGGTAGAGGTAAGGTCACTTGTAATTTGCTGTTTGGACAGTCAGTAATCCAAAACGGTTTTGAAAAACAAAACTGATTTGAGCATTAAGGCCTGCAGTGTGAACAAGGCTTTTGTTCCCTTGAAATGTTTTCAACATACCCTTTCAATCATGTTCCCATTTTGCCATCAAATAAAGCGACACTAGTGTCAAAATAGTTTTTAATCCCTGGGGTGCCAGTGAATTACAGTAGCTGAGTTCCATGCAGATTATTAACCCCTCCCCTGGCAGTGAGTTACCTTGACGATCCTGATGAGGATCTTGAGCTGGTAGAGATGGAGCTGCTGGTCCATGCGCTCAGTGAGCCAGGTCCCCAGCAGGTTCATGGTGGCTGTGTACCATTGCTGCAACACACACAAACACAGCGTTCTCCAGCAAAACACACACACACGTAGACGCAAACACACACACAAACTAGAGCTCTCTGCATATCAATATGCAGCTTGATATGTTCTCTAGTGAACACATACACACGTCTTACAAGCAAAACACACTCACACATTGGGAAGTACTTTCCGACACTTAACGCACACAGACATTTACAGTATTTTCCAGGAAAGACAAGACAGACATTTCGGAAAAAAAAGATACACACACATACACACTCTGCAGTGGAGAATAGAAAAACACTGAACATGCATAAAATACTTATTTCAGAAAAAGCACATTAATTATTTCAAAATTCCCATTTCTCCAAGCACTGCAGGGCACTAAGAAAATCAGAGGGAAACAATGAAATTATTAATACATTGCCAGGGTATATTAGTAGTGCTAGCTAGACATTCAAATATAAAATGTTCATGTTTTCTGGCAAACCTTCTGGCTCCAGTACAAACCTTCTGGCTCCAGTACACTCAGGGACAAAAATATCTACTTGAGCCAAGTTGTTCTTAGTAGCTAAATGTCTAGTATGCTATACTTTTCAACAAACTGAACATAGTATGGCATACCAATACATCATTTGTACAGTATATTGTAAGGGGATCTGAATTTATCAAATGATCTAGACTAGCGCTAAAGCCCTGTGAAGGCTCATCCATACATATAAGCAACACGACAACGTCGTAGAACATTCATTCTACATACTGTAACTCCACAGTGTAGTTTCAACTCGATCATTTGTGGAAATGAAATCATAATGAGAAAGTGAGTAAATGGTTAGGCAGGCAAGGAGCAGACAGTTGTGCTATTTTCTTATACCTTATTAGAAGAACGTTTAATTCATTCATTCAGAGTGTAGGATAAGATTGACCCAGATGATTCGTAGCAGAGATCAAGTTATAAGAGAACAGCACACGAGAGAAGAAGAGAGATGAACCAAGGAAGCTAGGAAACAGTTGTCCTCCTTCGAACGTCTAGAAAAAAGATCAACTTTGAGTCATGGAGTGAGTAGGCAGGGCCAGGAATGAGGGCCTGAATGGCTAGGATTGGACTTGGCTTAGTAGTTTTTTTGTTGGTTTGATTGGTCTAATTGCCCTAGCTCTAATTTGATTGGACCCAGGTTTGTTTTTGTCCTGTAGAGATGACTGGTTGGTCAGGAGGTTTTGGCTTGATGCTTGAGGTCAGATTTTAGCGGATGGATGCCTGTCCACTTCACACAGTCGAGTTGAGCCTATGTGCGTGCAGTGCATGCAGACCTGGAAGGCAGGTGGGTTTGGTGGCTGCGTGGGTGGCTGGGTGAGTGGCTGCGTGGGTGGCTGGGTGGCTGGGTGAGTGGCTGGGTGAGTGGCTGCGTGGGTGGCTGGGTGAGTGGCTGGGTGGGTGGCTGGGTGAGTGCGTGCGTGCGGAGGTTGGTTTGCTGTATGTGTTGTATAGTAGTATGACTGAGGCATAACTCTGAGAGGTGGAGGGTCATGCTAGAAGATGTACACAGGAAGATTATTTGACTTGAAATCATGCCATTCAACATAATGTGCTAAAACAACGCGACGTTAGAGATAAGTGCCACTTTTTGAAGAAAAGAGAAGGCGGCAGGAGTTATGGGGTTAATAAAGAAATAAATAAAATAATTGAGAGTGAATAAGTGAATAAGTGAAAGAAAGAGAGAGAGAGAGATGCAGTATTGGGGAGTTTTGCCGATACATGCAGAGATGGATGGAATATAATAGCATTAATGTTTTTAAAACAACAAACTTAATCATCAAAGACACTCCAAAACTAACGGAAATACAACATTTAAAACCAAAACATCCACAACTCAAAAGACATGGAACAGTCAAATGTGGTAGTGCCAGGTAGGGACAGGTTAGAAGCAGCTATACAATCACACATCAGAAACTGTGGGGAGGGGGGGGGGGGGGTACTCTTTAGCAGCGTAGAAACACAAGGAGAGAGACAGGGACAGCCAGTGTTGACCTTAAAGACAGAATTAAACACACTTCACAGTAGTACAACACACCTTTCAAACACAAAACACACACCACTCTAGCACATAACAGCACACCTCACAAACACACAAAGCCAACACACACACAGTGACAGCGCAGGAACAGTAGACTACTGCACGAAGTAATACCTCTCAAACACACTAATACACAGCCAACACACATACTAAATCACTCCAGCACATTACCACACGCCTCTCAAACACACAAAGCCAACACACACACACACACACACACACACACATCTGTGCACCACAATACTGTACAGTTTATACATTTCAGGGGTATGAAGCAAACACACGTCACTGTAGTACACCTCACAAAAATGGTGGACACATTATTTCAAATGTACCACATAAGGATTATGTGCTTGTAAAACAGTGCTCTCATATCAATGGCTTTCGCTTTGCAAGACCGCTTCAAACGAGAACAGGTATTTTAAAGTACTATATATTATTTAGTATTACTTAGATAGAAAGGGAAAGTTAGTTATTACATATCCTAGTGTTGGAGTGAATTAGATGACCTGTACATCATCTTTTATCTTTCTTTACCCAGAGAGCACTGCTTTCGATAATCCTGCCTGATGGTGCTTGTTTGGACTCTTTGCTTGTAAATGATCCAACCAATCCACAAAGGTCCAAAAGCACTGTGGCAATGCACACCAGAATACAGTGGGCAGGAGCAGAGGTTCAGAGAACAGAGAAGAAGAGATAGAGGAGAGAAGAGGAGAAAAGCCTATAGAGGAAGATAATAAAACACCAAGCCTCTTCTGTACCAGGCTGTGGTAGGTATACACACAGCGCCTGGTCTTAAAATGTGACATATTATATCCCTTTCCTGTCACAATTGTTTTGCCACATTTTGGAAAGCTCCCTCCCTATTGGTCAGGAGGAATCGGCATCTTACTTACATCAAATAATCTTTCTATATACACCTCCTCATTGACCTTATCTCGTAGAATGTCCTGAGAGTGGCGGACACAGGTGACGTAACCGTCGGCAACGTCCATCCCAGGCTTCTGCAAACACACCAGAAACATAGACATTGTAAATCTGTAATTTATATTAGATTTAGATTAGATTGAGTTCATTAGTCACATGTACAGGGATGCAGATTGTAAACATTTATTGAAAATATATGACAAATATATGAAGAAATATTGAAAACTCTATGAATTAAATAAGGATATAATGTACTTTATACAGACTCACACAGTACAATAGTGTTACAGACAAGACAGAGAGGCAGGGTGGGGGGGACAGAGGTAAGGGGTTATATGTGAGAAGAATGTCTCAGTTCTGCATAGTACAGTTAAATCACCCCAAACACAAGATAATGTATTTTGATTTGAATTAAGTAAATGATAAGTACTTCCTTTCTGATCACATAGCTTTTTTACTGGTTTGACATTTTACAGAGATCAACTGGGACTATGGCACACTTACAGGGACGTCCACATACTTTGAGGCAGCTTTCACCTGAAATTACAGACAGATTGTGACAAGAAAATATGAGAATTCCATAATTTGCACAGTCACCAACATACCTAGAATAATTTACGGAAACATAACTCCATCTGACATGATATTGGAGGCGATACAGTAGAGAAACCTAGTCTTACCGTGAATGACATGAAAGATGAGAATAGAGTGCCTTCATCGTATCGGGAGATCTTGGCCAACAGACCCTCCAGAATAACCACAAACTGAGAAGTGAGACACACAAACAACAATAAACAAACAAACAAACAAACAACAAGATTTATTCCAGACTACAAATCACTTTGTTCTACTTTTCTAGTGCCACAAAGCACTATGAGGCCAACCACAATACAAGTTACGTATCATTAGGGAGGACAATAAGAAAAATGAAGTGTACCTTTGCCACCATGAGTTGGATCATGTCCTTTACACTCTCCTCAATCAGTTCATCTATTTGGGTGTGGTACTGTTTCTGAAAGACGAAAATAACACACAGTTCATCTATTTGGGTGGTACAGTTCTAGTAGGTGATCCCTTCTGGGATTTGAACCCACAACCTTTGCATTGGTAGCGCCACATTCTTACCTCCTGGCCCATCTCCATGGCACACAGCTTGGAGGACTGGTCCTTCGCATCCACCATCACATTGAACATGGTGCATATTGCTGCAGAGATGCGGAAGTCTGTACCCCTGCTGCTCTTTGCCAGCTTGGACTCAAATGCCATCCTAGTGCTGCAATACACAGCAGGAAACATTTCTATGTAATGTATGGTATTTAGTTTGAGGCAGAGGCTCATGTCCAGCCACATGATCGAGAGACACACACACCAACACTGGCAGTACACAACACCACACACCAGTGTTAATTTTGGCAGCTATTTTAGATGTAGTTTTAGTCTTAGTCACATTTTAGTCATTTCATCCTTCGTTACTTTTAGTTATTATCAGTCAACAAAAACTTTTAGTCTCGTTTAGTCACAGCCATTTTAGTCATGTAATAGTCAGTGCATTTGTTTCTATTAAACACTCAGAATGTGAACATTCAGATAGCCTTGTCCAACTACGCCTACTATCCTCTCGTATACCTTAGCTGGCTACACTGATATTGTGGCAGATTGTAACCAATGCCAGCCATAATTAACCATACAGGCTATAAAGCCTTGGCTACAGGTTAAACAATTTACAGCTCTGATTTCCTCCCCATCATAACCGTCAAGGAGGTAAACAGTAGTTTCCTTAAAAAGGGGAGAATTTGAGCGAGATCGGCAACACAGATGAATACATAATATAAATATACATAACAGCGCGCATGTTATTTATTCAAAGCAAAAATAGCCTACATGAAAAGTAAACATAGCTCCTTTTTTAATCTTGTCAAATTCCTCAATGCGCTCAGGAGAGGCGAAGGTCAGGCCATGACCCGCCAAACCGCACTTCTTAACAATGCTTAACAGTGCTGCACCAACGTGTCAGAGGAAACACCATTCAATTGACGACCAAAGTAAGCATGCAGGCTCGCCACAAGGTGTCGCTAGAGCACAATGAGCCAAGTAAAGCCCCTTCCGGCCAAACCCTCCCCTAAACCGGACGACCAATTGTGCACCGCCCTATGTGACTCCCGGTCATGGCCGGTTGTGACACAGCCTGGGATCGAACCCGGGTCTGTAGTGACGCCTCAAGCACTGCAATGCAGTGCCTTAGACCGCTGCGCTACTCGGGAGGCCATAAACATTGTTTCTAGTTGAGGTTAGTTACAAGTCAAGTGTCCTGGCTTCGCATCAGTTCAAAAGATTGACAAGTGACTGAAGTGACCGCCTGGGAGCTGTGTGGGTGAGAGCATTGCAGATCAGCTCAATCAGACCACGCAACTGAAAGATGTAAATTCTGCCAATGAGAGGATCGCATTAAATATTCTGCATGCATGCTTATGATTGGACAAAACAGATGCTTCATGTCAAATTAACATTTCCATTAGTCTCACTTGGAATTCTCGTCTCGTCACATTTGTGTCGACTAAAATGAAAAGTAATTTGTAATAGTTGTATAAAAGAATGTCAGGGATCACGTCTCGTTTTCGTCAAAGTTTTAGTATGGAAATACCGATACCACACCCAGACATACACATACACACACACAACACACACCGTTTGACGCAATTCTCAATCATGTCGCTGGACATGAGCTTCATACGGTTCTCCAGGTGTTTGGCAAACTCCTCCTCGGGCCAGTGTAGGTCCCTGATGAAGGTCTGCAGTGCCTCCAGCTTCCAGAACAGGTCCTCCGACGTCCCAGAGCCATTGCTGCACTCCCACGGCAAACCCAAACACACACAGGTCAGAAACCAAAGGTCACAGAAGACAGAGGGGTCAGGGGGGTGTCCTTTATATTGACCACACACCGACCGACTGTTCCAAAGTAATTCCCTTTTTATTAACTTCACTTATAAATATCAAATAATCTCTTTAGACAGTCAGTGTATGGGAAAATAAGAGGACATGGTTGACTATAACATTTCAATAACCATGCTGTAGCACTTGGTTATTAATAACCTTTTAGGTGTGGGTTCATGCAGGATAGTCACTGCAGATATCGCACACACTGACTTGTCTGTAATACAACACAGGGGAGTGGAGAGGTGAGGGAGGGCGTGTCTTGAAACATGGCTATCATTGTGTGTTCATAAGTAGATTTAATTTATCTCTCTTGAACTTGTATTTGTTTGGGGTATACATGATCAATCACAGAAAATAAAACTCTAAAAGAGCAGCCCACTCTCTCACCCCCCATATCCTCAGGCTGGTGGTACTGGGTGGGTATCCTACAGTACAATAGCTATTAAACACACCATGCAGTCCTGTCTGAAGGTGCTGCCATCCTGGTTAGAGCTGACTGGGATAGGGGGATGCAGGAAAAGAAGGAGGAGGAGAAGAGGAAAGGAGAGGGGGCAGATCTCTACTGCATTGGATGCCAGCTGCACTGAAGAGGTGGTTGCTTTAGAGCATTGAGCTAACAATCCACCCACCCAGTTACAACCGGGCAGAATCTCTACCCACTTACCCGCCCCAACCACAGAAATAAAACCACTAGAACGGAAATACCCATTGACTTGAATGGGGGCTGTCCATTCTTGTGATTCAATTTCTATGATCCCACCATCTGACCACCTGACCCCGCCCACCCTATCCCACTGGCCACAGACAGTCATGTGAGCCAGGACCAGCAGTATTCATACAGGGTTCTGATGCGACGTTCAACTGTACCTTCCATAAGCAATCAGTGGTACAGTCAACTTTTTATGAGCATTACAGACTAACCACTGCATTCTTTACAGCTAGTGAAAACTGTAGGAGAGAGGCGGAGAGATACACATCGGACAGAAAATTCCAGATTATCATAATAATGTCCACTGTTACAATATATTTCAGTGCAACAAAGCCCAGAACTTCCAGTGAAACATGGTTTGATTTGGCTCTGTATCTCTACACCTCACAGCTCAACTGCATGCATGTTGAGGGGAAATGACAGCTTGTCATATAGCCACTCATTTCAAGAACAAACAAGTCTAAACTCTAAACAAGCCTAAACTACCGTACGTAACCCCCTTGCAGTGCTCTTGGCATGAACATGATAGGATCGGTAACGACTGTTTACCCAAGATTTTATTTGAGGAACGTATTGGTAAAGTAATCTTATCTGTAATGTGTGTGGTGTGCATTAACCTATGTAGTTGTGAAAAAAGGTATCTTCCCTTACATAATGCCTAAGCAGGTCGTTGGCAGAGACATTTCCGAAATCTAAATCAATATTTTTATTTGGTCTTCTATTGTCAATGACCTGCGACAAGGGGACCTAGGGGACATCTTCATACCAAGGCAACACGTTGCTGATGCACATAAATCTAAGGTGAACTAGTTGAATACACACTCAGGGTCATAGATAGCAGCCATCCATGACGGGGTGGAAAAACTAGGCATTGTTGGAAGGTTAACTGATAGTCCTGCTACTGGCGGCAGATTTGGTACTTTGGGAATTTGGAGGTTGACATTTGGTATTTGGAGATTCACATTGGGCAGATTACTTGTTAAACTCCTGCAGAAGAGACAGACAAAAAGAACAAAATAAATCCATAACAGTGGTAATGTAGATGCTGCTGCAGTTCAAAGCCATGTGAAACTGTGCAGTAAAAGTAATCAAATCCAGAACACAAGAGGAAAAGTCACACAAAGAAATGGATCATCTTCAGACATAATACATAATATGTAAATGGCACACATAAATAAACAAGACCAACAGTTAGAGAAGCAGTTGTTTTCTGAAGCACATAGAAAAAGAGGACCTACTACATTCAGAATAAGCGGTGGATTGTACGCATATATAAAAGCAGCAGTAAGGCAAAACAGCAAAGTTATCGAAAACATAAGACCTATAGTCTATAAATATGTATTTTCCTTTCAGGTTTAGAGCTTCGTAAAGAGCTTAATTTAAAAGAAAGCAAAACAAATGTAAATGGCATGATAAATCAATAAGCATTAGTTATAAAGTGAAAAATAGCAAATTAGCAACACAAAATACACTGGAGAGCTTCTGTCCCTAGCAACATTTCAAAGCACAAAACAAAAGGATGGAAATATTGGAGATTGACTTCAACTAACCTACATGTGACCTAGTCTGGGATAAGGGTCCCGAATGTGGCAGAGTATAGCCCTCTTGCACTTTTGCAAGTTTACCGCACAATATCCGCTAAAGCTTGAAGCTTCTGATTACAAAACTAATATTTTTTAATAATACCTTATGAGTCATAGCTACCATCATATTCAGGTTTAATTTGTTTCTGGAGTTAGAAAAACTCATTTCCGAGACCATTGTCTCCTAATAAATGTTTTATGAATGCCTTTTGGGATATGTTTTCCTTATCAGAAAATTGTACATTTAAGTCATTTAGCAGACGCTCTTATCCAGAGCAAAAATAAACTCCTTATCTATTACTCTCCTCAAACAGCTCTGACTGAGGAGTGTGCTGAGGCAGTCAAATAAGGAGTGAACTACATGACTGCTCTCCTAAGTATAGTAGTGTCTCTCTCCAGGCCTCTCCAAGAGCAGTCAGTTAGTGTGAGGAAGGAAGGACGGCCCCTTACTTTACAGGCACCCAGGACTCTCCCTCAAAGCCCCTGGTGATAGACTGAGCGATGGAGGACTCCATCAGGTCCACATATCTAACCACCAGGGGAGCATAGAGGTCCTGCAGGTGTTTGTGGAATTTCCCATTGCACAGGTGATCTAGAAGCAGAAGAAGAGAGAGAATAGAGAGATTATACAGTGGCTTGTGAAAGTATTTAACCCCCTTGACATTTTCCCTATTTTGTTGCCTTACAACCTGGAATTAAAATGAATTTTGGGGTGGTTTATATAATTTGATTTACACAACATGCCTACAACTTTGAAGATGCAAAATATTTTTTTGTTTTGAAAACAGACCCACCTTTTGCAGCAATTACAGCTGAAAGTCTCTTGGGGTATGTCTCTATAAGCTTGGCACATCTAGCCACTGGGATTTTTGCCCATTCTTCAAGGCAAAACTGCTCCATCTCCTTCAAGTTGGATGGGTTCCGCTGGTGTACAGCAATCGTTAAGTCATACCACAGATTCTCAATTGGATTGAGGTCTGGGCTTTGACTAGGCCATTCCAAGACATTTAAATGTTTTCCCTTAAACCACTCGAGTGTTGCTTTAGCAGTATGCTTAGGGTCATTGTCCTGCTGGAAGGTGAACCTCCGTTCAGGGTGATGAGAGGTGTTGGGTTTGCGCCAGACATAGCATTTTCCTTGATGGCCAAAAAGCTCAATTTTAGTCTCATCTGACCAGAGTCCTTCTTCCATATGTTTGGGGAGTCTCCCACATGCCTTTTGGCGAACACCAAACGTGTTTGCTTATTTTTTTCTTTAAGCAATGGCTTTTTTTCTGGCCCCTCTTCCGTAAAGCCCAGCTCTGTGGAGTGTACGGCTTAAAGTGGTCCTATGGACAGATACTCCAATCTCCGCTGTTGAACTTTGCAGCTCCTTCTGGGTTATCTTTGGTCTCTTTGTTGCCTCTCTGATTAATGCCCTTCTTACCTGGGCCGTGAGTTTTGGTGGGCGGCCCTCTCTTGGCAGCTTTGTTGTGGTGCCATATTCTTTCAATTTTTTTATAATGGATTTAATGGTGCTCCGTGGGATGTTCAAAGTTTCAGATCTTTTTTTATAACCCAACCCTGATCTGTACTTCTCTACAACTTTGTCCTTGACCTGTTTGGAGAGCTCCTTGGTCTTCATGGTGCTGCCCCTTGCTTAATGGTGTTGCAGACTCTGGGGCCTTTCTGAACAGGTGTATATACTGAGATCATGTGACAGATCATGTGACACTTAGATTGCACACAGGTGGACTTTATTTAACTAATTATGTGACTTCTGAAGGTAATTGGTTGCACCAGATCTTATTAAGGGGCTTCATAGCAAAGGGGGTGAATATATATGCATGCACCACTTTTCCGTCATTTATTTTTTAGAATTCTTTGAAACAAGTTATTTTTTTCATTTCACTTCACCAAGTTGGACTATTTTGTGTATGTCCATTACATGAAATCCAAATAAAAATATATTTAAATTACAGGCTGTAATGCAACAAAATAGGAAAAACACCAAGGGGGATGAACACTTTTGCAAGACACTGTAGCTATACATATTGTTATATAGTTTGATTGTTATTATAGCTATAAACACTACAGATTGGCAGTGATCTAGGCAGAAGAGAGAGAGAGAGAGAGAGAGAGAGAGAGAGAGAGAGAGAGAATACAGTATTGATATTACAGCATAAACTTCTCAGAGGGGCAGGACCAAGTCGTGTGTGTGTGGCACAGTACAGTGTGTGTTTTATTGTTTTATTAGTCAAGGGTTAAAGGAATCTGGTCTGAATGGAAGAGTTATTCTATGGTGTTTCCTGGAAAAAAGCTAGAACCACTTTTAGCTATTTAAGGTGGGTCAAAACTTTTGACTTTTGACTGGGTGGTTAAGCACTTTCAGTCCAACTTTTTCCTTGATGTTTATTGGATGGAGAAGGCCATTGGTGTATATAGAAGAGAAACATGAAACATACAGTCAGTGCGGAGGAAGTCGTTGAGCAGCTGGAAGAGAGGGAAGCTGTCCCAGCTCTCAGGAGACTGGATTTCCAGAGCAGCATCCATGTCCACGGCATACATGGCCAGGAAGGTCTCAGCGTGCTCCGTCATCAGGTCAGACCACCAGGCAAAGGCCTAGACACATACACATACCACGGACAGGACAGGGACAGAACCAGGGAGGGGGTGAACGGTGAACACAAGCCCCAGTCAGGGTGTGAGGATGTGGGGATGAGCAGGCAGGACAGAGAGGAGGCAGAGCAGACTTGGGAGGATCACACACATACTGGAGCTAATCAGAGCTCTAACAAACCCGCGCCAGCTAGCACTGTGGACTGATATATCATGTGTAGGTAGGTAGACCATTAAATGTAGTGATTATATGCAGTTAACTGTAGTAATAGATGTCTGTAGCCTTGCAAACCCATGTGTACTCCAAGAATGAGTAAAACCAATCCACAGCTCTTTCTGGTGAAGACTAAAGGGGTTGGGGCTAATTGAAACCTTAGCTAGCCTCCCACCAATGTGAGAACAAGTTTACAATACATTTATACACAAAGCCAATAATAGCATAATAATATCATGAAGCTGATTAATTCTGTTATATTCATTGATCATATATCTCTAGATTGAGGGAGGGTCATAGCCGGGGGGTGGTGCCTTTTCTCATGCAGACTGCCGTGGAGCTCGGGTTTCCACCATTCACATCGTTGCCATACCAACAGAACACTCCTCATCAGATGTGAATGTGATACAGGTCATGTCCATGCACTGCATTCAGCCATATAATAGGAAGTAGGCACACTGACCGAAGACTGCAGCACATAGCTTATCTACTAGGTACAGGGTTTCCAGAGGGACAATTTGTGGACAAACCAATAAACTTGATATGGTTTCCCCAGATATTTTGGGACTACTAGTTAGGGTGAACAATGGTACTTAATAGGTCAGAAAGAGGTATTTATCCATGTCTGTTTCCATTGACCTTTCTGCTTCTATTGATTTTGCTGCTGTGCTTACAGTCTGGGCTTGGGTTATTTGCTCATCGTTGGAAAAACTTGACGGGACGAATAATCCTTCCTGTTATGCTGCATGCTTTTATTTCATATTGAATCAATCCTCCTGGAAAAACATCTGCCATAGAGGGACTATACAGTGGCTTGCGAAATAATTCACCCACTTTGGCATTTTTCCTATTTTGTTGCCTTACAACCTGGAATTAAAATAGATTTTTGGGGTAGTTTGTATCATTTGACCTGTTTGGAGAGCTCCTTGGTCTTCATGGTGCCGCTTGCCTGGTGGTGCTCCTTGCTTAGTGGTGTTGCAGACTCTGGGGCCTTTCAGAACAGGTGTATATATACTGAGATCATGTGATAGATCATGTTGCACTTAGATTGCACACAGGTGGACTTTATTTAACTAATTATGTGACTTCTGAAGGTAATTGGTTGCACCAGATCTTATTTAGGGGCTTCATAGCAAAGGGGGTGAATACATATGCACGCACCACTTTTCCGTTATTTAACTTTTAGCATTTTTGGAAACAAGTAATTTTTTTTTTTCATTTCACTTCACCAATTTGAATTATTTTGTGTATGTCCATTACATGAAATCCAAATAAAAATCCATTTAAAATACAGGTTGTAATGCAACAAAATAGGAAAAACGCCAAGGGGGATGAATACTTTTGCAAGGCACTGTAGCTAACACAGCACAGGGGGACAGCACTGCAGTCAAGTCCTCACTTACCTGTCTGACCACTTACATGCCCACCCCTTCACCGACTATTTACAATGCTATAAATCATTGGTGCTACAGTACAGGCAGCAGACCAAGTTGTGCTCCTTCATCATCATCATCATCACTATCATCATCACATCATCATACACAGGGCAGGGGAGAGAGTGTGGACTCAGGGAGAGGAGTGGGTGGGGATGGGGGGAGGGGGGTTATAGTTCCAGGGAGGAGGGACGGATGGACAGGTAAACTGGGGGCTCCATCCTATGTTGGGGGAAGGGAACTCAGGCAAGGCCCCGGCCTCTACAGCATGCCCAGCCCCATTGCTGCAGCAGGCACCATCATTCACAACAGTCCCAATACAACAGGCCCAAAAGAGCAGTCCTGGACTGTACCAACACTTCAGAGAAAGGGGGGCAGGGCATCTACTGGACATGCACAATCCATTACAGGGTTAGAGGGGGGAGGGGTGTTCTCATTCAACTTCACCACATACCTCTTTGCCCTGCAGGGAGCGAACATCACCGATCATACGGACAGTGAAAACACAGGGAGGATAGTCACATGAATGTATCTACAGCATCAAGCATTTATTTAAAGGATTACTGAGTGGAGGAACAATTCTTAGACGGAAGGCGGGAAAGCAGAGAGATGGAAGAGGAGAAGCCGGAAGGAGGAGGAATGTTCTAAATGTTCAAAGAGAGTGAACCGTGATTTGAAACCGAACTTAAAGCTGGATGGAGGAAGGAGAGGATATACATTTATGTTCATGGTGGAGTTTGGGATTCAATCAAACCCTAAAAGAACCACCCAGAGTATACTGTGGTATAGCTCACTTCAACATGCTGCTAGAGAGAAGAGGACTAGTCGTGGACATGCTCTATGATCAAAGTGATGTTGTGTAGCCTATAGTATGGCGGTGCGTTACAGTCAGCATGTTAGCTGATGTTTCTGAACCAACACACAACAGCCACCCATCCCTCTCTAGTGTATTTCCCTCAGCCTTACAACACTAAGGGCAGCCCTAGCCTCTGTGCAGGCCAACATGCGATAGATAGGGAGAGGTTTGTGATGGGACTGAAGAGAAAGATAAATAATTATACTGTACCGATTGATCTCCAGAACTTGTGACTGCAGCCTGTCAAGCATATGTCAGAGAGATAGAATAAATCTGCTTATCTGCATTAATCTTATTGATCCCATAGGATCACCTGTAGATCTTCATGATCAACATGCTTTTACAATTGTTTATTATACTTTTAGGCAAAAATATATCTATTTAGTGTTGTTTCTATTTCATGTTCCAACTTCTCAGCTAAAGTAACACTGAATGAGCATGCGTCACCTACTGTACAGTCCGACTAGAAGCAGCTAGCCTACATTACAGCTACCTATACTGTTCTGTCCTCTACTGTACATACTGAGCTGAAATCAATCAGGCATTCCCATCTTTCAAGGTAACCAATGTTTTATGTAGCATTGCACCACTTGGATTATGAATGATGAATCCGTGGAGAAGGGAATGGCACACTTCACCACTCTCCCACTTTAAAATGCCTCCTTTGGTAAAAATTGTGCACTGGCACAATGTTAACATCCATTATTCATCTCCCATTAAGGATGTCTACCTGTGTAGTAAATCATTGATGAAAAAGTATATATTTTTAAGTTACCCATGCACAAAGACAGCGTTATATATAAACAGGAAAAGACTAGCTCCCTTCTCCATGCCCATGGAGGAGGTGTCGGAGGAGGTAATGAAGTGAGATAGATAAAGAGAGGGATGAGAGGAGGAAGAGTTACCCACTCACCTCCGCATGATGCTCCTGGTTCTGCTGGAGGACCTCTATGACTAGCTCGGCCAGGCGAATAGTGTCCTCAAGTTTTTTGGCGGGCGTGACTAACCGGCCTACGTTCTCTGGAGCGGAAGGATGAGGGGTAAGGAAGGGGTTAGTTAGGCAGAGAGGGGTTACTAACAGTCTCTGTTAGAATGTTTCCCCCCCCCCCCCATCTATATCGTTAACTCCAGAAATGGTTGAAATGAAAGACATGATAAGTGCTTAAGCTGTGTTTTGGGTTCCCTCTCACTCACACAGACCCCACAGACCACTAGCACTAAAGATGAGAGTGTCATATGGTTTCTAAAGCATGCACGCAATATAAACTGGTACTGGTGCATTGTATGTAGACAGTCAATGTAAGGAGATATTGGACAACACAGTCAGGTAGAATCGACTGACTAAATTAATCCCACGGAGAAAACCAAAATCGTTGTTATACTCATGCAAAATGCTCCTGTGCTCTTAATGCTTTTGCTGCCTGGGATAATGTTGAGTTTGTAACAAATATCGTTTGTAAGATCTACGGTGTACCTGGACACTGATTTTTTCATATATCATCTGCTGACATAAAATTAGTTAGGACAATTCAATGTGGTGAAATGAGGTAGTCAGAACATTAACGATAATGTGGCAAAATTAGCAAAACATTAGAACATTTAATTAGACGGCTCAAATTAAATTTGAAATAATGAGGACATAGAACTGTACATAGAACTGTACAGAGATCATTTTAGTAAATTTATCATACCACATTTATCACCTGTCTAAATTTAGAAAATATATGTTCAACGTAGCCTATTTATTCTCATAATCTTTTTGTCACGTCATACACTATGGTTTGTTGTGTGATTATGCACTACCTGTACTACTATGTAGCCAACTAGCCATGCATTCTAAAAAGGACCCTGAACCCCACAGCATAGTTAAAATGGCTGAAGGAGGTCATGCAGTGCCAGAGGAATGGCAGAATACTCCTTGCAAAGCCTTCATGTTGGTCCTTAGAAGTATAATGAGCAGAATGATAATGTAGTGATTATCATTCTCAAATGTATCATACTTCATCCATATCCAATGTGTTCAACTGTTTTATGAAATATGTCATGTTATCAGAGAATGGTCTCATCATTTTGCATACAATCTTTCAGATTCTATGTTGTGTGACAATTAAATAATAATAATGCAGAATTTTCCTCAGTGTGTATTTGGATACTGATAGCCAGATATATTGAGGTAAACTCATATTGCATTATTTCTCTCAACACATTGGAGATGCTACCTTTTATGTGCATATCAGTTTTTCTTGATCAGTTTCAGATTTTTTTTAGCTTTATTCAATACATGTATCATAGTATCAGGAAAAACTTTGGAAAATAATTTCATGAATTGAAACACGCACCTCTATATTCAATTCATGAACTGAATAAAAATAAAAATAAATTTCCCTGAAAATGACTGTTATAAAGTAATACAATCTCTCCACAAATAATTGTGTGCTACATGTTGGCATGCCAAGAAATTAGGGGGAATTTGAGAGGGTTTATGTATGCATTTAAATGTGTATGTGGTTACAGGAGATATATATACACATATACAGTGTGTGTGTGTGTGTGTGTGCACTGTGTGTTTAAGGTACAGTAGGTGTGTATTGGGGTTAAGCTAAAAGTCAAACAGGGCTTCACCTGGATCATTTGGATCCGGCTTTTTATCTTTCTCAACTTGAAAGAGAGAGAGAGAGAAGGAGAGAAAAGAAAGACAAGAAAGAGAAAAGAGGAGATATTTAGGATTATAACACACTATGGTTATTATTTTATGTTCCAGAAGAGAGTGAAAAGATGTTCCTCTTTACTCTTCTCCATCTGACCCTTGACCTTTAGAGAGAACACTGGAAACGTCCCAGAACTCTGCAGGAGTGTGTTAGGTAGCTAATTGACAGACATATCATTGACTCCACAGACATACACGTAGGTACAGACACGCTGAAACGTTGAGAGATTAGCCTAAGGAGAAGTCCAAAAGTAAAGAAGGAACTACAACAGGATGTAGTTAACAGTAACAGAAAGACAAAGCTTTAGACCGTCGTAAACTTAGACGTAAGACGAACAACAGCTGCACGAACCAAAGACAGGACACATTGACTGGTGGTGGGTTGAGTTGAGCTGAGATAAAATACATATTATAGGAACTCTGTGTGCGTACACCCAATCCTTTCTGTCCTCCTGGTATCTTAGCTCTGCCTGCAGCTGCTGCTCTGCTCTACTGCCTCCCTCTCTGGGTTTCTCTGTCTCTGGCAGTGCCATAGCTTCATACCTGTCTGTCCCAGCGCACAGCGCGGCGTGGCGTGCCCACACTCACTGACACATGACCAGACGACTGAAGGAGATAACACAGAAGCAATGTAAAAAATGCATTCAAGTCACATGGGTGGGCATGGGCATATGTCCAACCAAAAGAAAGAAGCTTACAGACCAGACCGACAGATCATTCATGTTGGTCACAGACAGATGGGAGACTGTAGGTCCCTGATAGTAGGACCGCTACAGTGCTGTTGCAGTGTCTCCCCAGACAGACCAGACTGGCTCTCTCTCTCCCCACTCGCTCTCGCAGACATGAGCGACAGATAAAAAAAGCACAGAGGAGGAAGGAGGAGTGGACATGGCTGAGAGGAGGGAGGGAGGAGAGACAGGGAGAGGATGAGGTAGGTACTCACGGATGGTTAAATCCATCACTTGTGACGCCAAGCAGAAGACAGGGTGCTCAAACATTTCCCTCTTTCTCCCTACAAAAGAGGAGGATTGGGGCATGCAAGAGGCTGGGGTCAGAGGTTAGGGTGAGAGGTTAAAGGTCAGAGGAGATGGAAAGGCAGAGAACTGCCCTGGGTTGTGTTCATTAGGGCAAACTGTAGCAAAATATTTTGTAAAAGAAAACAGTTCAGGTAGTTCTCCGCTGTTCAGTCTGTTTTCTTTCATTTTGTGGCCTAATGAACATAACCATGGTGAGAATTGACTTGGATTGGGGCTGCAGATGACTGGGTTCAATTTTCTTAATATTGGACCAACAGCATCACAAGGATAGGGGAAAGAAGTCTACTTGGTACAGTGGGGCAAAAAAGTATTTAGTCAGCCACCAATTGTGCAAGTTCTCCCACTTAAAAAGATGAGAGAGGCCTGTAATTTTCATCATAGGTACACGTCAACTATGACAGACAAATTGAGAAAAAAAAATCCAGAAAATCCCATTGTAGGATTTTTAATGAATTTATTTGCAAATTATGGTGGAAAATAAGTATTTGGTCACCTACAAACAAGCAAGGTTTCTGGCTCTCACAGACCTGTAACTTCTTCTTTAAGAGGCTCCTCTGTCCTCCACTCGTTACCTGTATTAATGGCACCTGTTTGAACTTGTTATCAGTATAAAAGACACCTGTCCACAACCTCAAACAGTCACACTCCAAACTTCACAATGGCCAAGACCAAAGAGCTGTCAAAGGACACCAAAAACAAAATTGTAGACCTGCACCAGGCTGGGAAGACTGAATCTGCAACAGGTAAGCAGCTTGGTTTGAAGAAATCAACTGTGGGAGCAATTATTAGGAAATGGAAGACATACAAGACCACTGATAATCTCCCTCGATCTGGGGCTCCATGCAAGATCTCACCCCGTGGGGTCAAAATGATCACAAGAACGGTGAGCAAAAATCCCAGAACCACACGGGGGGACCTAGTGAATGACCTGCTGAGAGCTGGGACCAAAGTAACAAAGCCAACCATCAGTAACACACTACGCCGCCAGGGACTCAAATCCTGCAGTGCCAGACGTGTCCCCCTGCTTAAGCCAGTACATGTCCAGGCCCGTCTGAAGTGCATTTGGATGATCCAGAAGAGGATTGGGAGAATGTCATATGGTCAGATGAAACCAAAATATAACTTTTTGGTAAAAACTCAACTCGTCATGTTTGGAGGACAAAGAATGCTGAGTTGCATCCAAAGAACACCATCCCTACTGTGAAGCATTGGGGTGGAAACATCATGCTTTGGGGCTGTTTTTCTGCAAAGGGACCAGGACGACTGATCCGTGTAAAGGAAAGAATGAATGGGGCCAGGTATTGTGAGATTTTGAGTGAAAACCTCCTTCCATCAGCAAGGGCATTGAAGATGAAACGTGGCTGGGTCTTTCAGCATGACAATGATCCCAAACACACCGCCCTGGCAACGAAGGAGTGGCTTCGTAAGAAGCATTTCAAGATCCTGGAGTGGCCTAGCCAGTCTCCAGATCTCAACCCCATAGAAAATATTTGGAGGGAGTTGAAAGTCTGTGTTGCCCAGCGACAGCCCCAAAACATCACTGCTCTAGAGGAGATCTGCATGGAGGAATGGGCCAAAATACCAGCAACAGTGTGTGAAAACCTTGTGAAGACTTACAGAAAACGTTTGACCTGTGTCATTGCCAACAAAGGGTATATAACAAAGTATTGAAAAACTTTTGTTATTGACCAAATACTTATTTTCCACCATCATATGCCAATAAATTCATTAAAAATCCTACAATGTGATTTTCTGGATTTTTTTTTCTATTTTTGTCTGTCATAGTTGACGTGTACCTATGATGAAAATTACAGGCCTCTCTCATCTTTTTAAGTGGGAGAACTTGCACAATTGGTGGCTGACTAAATACTTTTTTTCCCCACTGTATATCTTCCAGATAGTAAGGGATAAACACCTTAGTATCTTTGGCACCCTAGGTATGTCTTTCTAGTTAATGACTACACGTTTTGGATCAATCTGTTGACATGCATGTCAAAGCAAGCACTGCATATGACATTGTAGGGAAACCAAAAGGGTGTTGTGCAAGCAATAACAGAGTACTGTATATCTAATTGAAAGCTAAATGGTGATATGTAATGGCTAGTCCATGCCTATGAAGAAAAACCTTTCCATAATGTGTTGTAGTACATGCAGGTGACAGATGCTGAGTTGTCTGTGTCCAATCCAAGCATTATTTTTCATTGCCTTCAAAACCACTTATCACAGAAATGTGAGGTGATAAATGTGTCGAAGCCAATGAGATGAGAGAGAGGAAGAGGACAGCAGACAGAGGAACAGGGAGAGGAGGGTAATGGTCTGCAGGAAGAACAAGAGGAAAGAAAAGGAAAGAGAGACAGAGAAAAGAGGGGAAAGGAGAGGGAGAGTAGGACAAGGGGCCCCAGGAAGGAGAAGAGGAGGGGACGAGTAAGATTTATATGATAAATCTTAGATTAGAGGCCCTGGAGTCTAGGGGTAAAGATACAGTCAGAAAAGAGTAGTGGATCAGGAAGTGGGGTTTGTTCAGGGGAAATCTGCTTCTAGCTACTATATACACTACATGACCAAAGGTATGTGGATACCTGCTCGTCACACATCTCATTCAAAAATCATGGACATTAATATGGAGTTGGTCCTCCCTTTACTGCTATAACAGCCTCCACTCTTCTGGGAAGGCTTTCCACCAGATGTTGGAACACTGCTGCAGGGGACTTGCTTCCGTTCAGTCACAAGAGCAATAGTGAGGTCGGGCACTGGTGTTGGTCGATTAGGCCTGGCTCGCAGTCGGCTTTCCAATTCATCCTAAAGGTGTTCGATGAGGTTGAGGTCAGGGCTCTGTGCAGTCAAGTTCTTCCACACCGGTCTCGACAAACCATTTATGTATGGGCTCGCTTTGTGCACGGGGGCATTGTCATCCTGAAACAGGAAATGGCCTTCTCCAAACCTTTGCCACAAAGTTGGAAGCACAGAATCGTCTAGAATGTCAATGTATGCTGTAGCGTTAAGATTTCCCTTCACTGGAACTAAGGAGCCTAGCCCGAACCATGAAAAACAGCCCCAGACCATTATTCCTCCTGCACCAAACTTTACAGTTGGCACTATGCATTGGGGCAGGTAGCAATCTCCTGACATCCACCAAACCCAGATTCGTCCGTCGGACTGCCAGATAGTGAAGTGAGATTCATGATTCCAGAGAACACGTTTCTACTGCTCCAGAGCCCAATGGCAGTGAGCTTTACACCACTACAGCCGATGCTTGGCATTGCGCATGGTGATCTTAGGCTTGTGTGCGGCTGCTCGGCCAAACCCATTTCATGAAGCTCCCGACGAACAGTTCTTGTGCTGATGTTGCTTCCAGAGGCAGTTTGGAACTCGGTAGTGAGTGTTGCAACCGAGGACAGACGATTTTCACCCGCTACTCACTTCAGCACTCGGTAGTCCCGTTCTGTGAGCTTGTTTGGCCTACCACTTCGCCGCTGAGCCGTTGTTGCTCCTAGACGTTTTCACTTCACAATAACAGCACTTACAGTTGACAGGGGCAGCTCTAGCAAGGCAGAAATTTGACGAACTGACTTGTTGGAAAGGTGGCATCCTATGACGGTGCTACGTTAAAAGTCACTGAGCTCTTCATTAAGGCCATTCTACTGCCAATGTTTGTTTATGGAGATTGCATGGCTGTGTGCTCAATTTTATACACCTGTCAGCCAAGGGTGTGGCTGAAATAGCCGAATCCACTAATTTGAAGGGGTGTCCACATACTTTTGTATATATAGTGCATATTTTTCTTTACTGTAGATATAATATACTATATATTCCAGATCTATACTGTTAAATCAGCACATGCCAGTGGCCAGGATACAGCTAGAATCGAGGTACAGATACATGGGGGCCAGGCCAGCACATCAATAGGGCTTTAATCCAAAACTTTGGATTTGAATGCATTTTTACTCACAACACCTCTACAAAAAGCCAACTTTACCTACAGTACAGTACAGTAGAGAACACCACAGCTAAAGCAGCCTGCCTGAAACAAAGGGGAGTGTTAATTGGCTGAGTGACAAACAAGTGACAACCAATCTGTCAAGTGGAAAAATACTGTATAGGCTGCTTCTCTTGAATTCATGTGGCAAAAAAATAAGAGATGTCAGTATGTTTCTTCAGTGCTTGTTTTCTCCAGGTTAATTTGGTCCAGGTTTATCTTGAAAAGAATCCCACTGTAGGATGCTAAAATTGGAATCAAAGTGGTCACGACAAGTCACTTCCAAAAGAGAGTAGAATGTTTGACGCGCCTGTTCCACATAGAAAGCCCCAGAATGACTGAAAAGTCACTAAAGTACTAAAACAGTTACCATCATCTAAAGAAAATCAACCAGTTACAGGTTTTAAAGCAACAACAACCAAGTACTTACCAACAGAGTTAGTAATTGCTATTGCATATTGAAGGTGTGTCCGTATATGTAAATCATGGCTAGTTACCTTCGATTTTTGGCATATTCTGTGATATTTTGCGTAGTTGAGTTGAGCAGCCTGCTCCAGACATTTACGGATGACTCCCTTCACTTCCTCTTGTGGGACTGGAGTCACAATGTCCTTCATCAGCACCTGAGGATGAGGAACAGGACAGGACAAGTCTTCCTTAGAGTCTTTCCACTGAATTACACTTTATTACAGTTTCGTTTTCATTTTCAATGTCCTTTTTCAAGCATTTATATGAGCTTATATGAGCAATGAGATCTGAATCATTCATGAACTGAAAAGTTTCTGTAAAATGAGAAAGAAAAGATTGCAGTCATCTAAATGTACTAACCCTTTCCAGCAAAGACAGCGTGGCCTTCAAGGCTCCCTCTGGACGTCCGAACGGGAAGCAATATCTACACGAGAGAAGCGAGTTGAATCACAATGAAATACAAAAATCACTGCTGACAACAGAACAATGATGAACAGAACAATGGAATAGTATATGATGAGGCCGGAGAGATGGATGGATGGCCAGTCGGCAGCAGCACTCACCTGAAGTTAGTGATCTGGTGTTCCAGGATCACACGCAATCGCTCTTTGATTTCTTCAAAGCGCTCCTTTTCATCCACCTTCACTGTTCCCAGCCCGTCAGGCCTGAGGATGACATCATGGAGTACAAACACAACATCAGCCCAGCGAATCATGCGGTATTAGAGCCGCCAGTTAGAGTCCATCAAAACAGGAACAATGCAACAATTTGCACCTAAACAGTGTCATCTTTCAGTTCTCCATGATTTTACTGCTGCTTGTGTGAGTGAAACAGAATCATTCTTCAGCATGTTTACCAAATTTAAATATTATTTCTTACACAGACAAACATCAAATCAAATTGTATTTGTCACATGCTTCGTAAACAACAGGTGTAGACTAACAGTGAAATGCTTACTTGCAAGATAAAACATTTAATAAAAAATACACGACAAATAAATACACAGTGAATAACGAATAACAATGACGAGTACAAATGACATGGCTATATACAGGGAGTACCAGTACCGAGTTGATGTGCAGGGGTACGAGGTAACTGAAGTAGCTATGTACATATAGGTACATTTTATCGTACATTATCTTACCTGATGGGCTCTTGGGCGAGCTGAAATTTGGAATCCCTTTTCTTCCTAAACTTCATTTTTTTGCTTCCCCGTTTCGAGCCAGCCCCTGGTTCTGGGGTCTGGGCGCCGCTAGGTGCCCAGGGGCCCTCAAAACCCATCAGTGGCCCCCAGTAACTGCTGCCCTCTCTGACTTTATAGGGATGCATGGGGGATGAGCAATATCGACATAATGAGACTGAATAAAGCAACAAAAGACAAGGAGGGAAAAGAAAAGAGGAATACGGTGGAAACCAAGGTAAATATAACTGATTAATAAAAAAATAGAACAAAATGATGACATGATAACAAAGTACATGATTAAAATCATAATAAATAACATGCAAAACATTCATGACAAACAAAGACATAACAATGGGAATCATAAAGCAATAGTGCTCTGCTGTGTTTGATGACTAACCCTTTTCTCCTCTTACTATGGCCAGCTTTTCTTTCCTTATATTTCATCTGAAGACCTTTGAGTGTCTATTTGTGGTACGAAATGTTTCCGTCTCTCTTGCGATAGACTATGGTGGTGATTTAGCACTGCCAGTGCTACCTCGTGATGAACATTGACTTGTCCAAAATGTTGCCCTCGCACCTTGAGGATGTCCTCTTGGTCTAATGGTTAAGACTTTGGATTGGCGAGCAGTAGATCCGGGTTCAATCGGGTGTAGATTTTACCTGTTACCATGGACATGGGAGGCGCAGAAAGCGAAACTGTAGTGCAGCAGGGTGGGGTCGATCATGGCTCCTCTGTCCGCCCTCTCCAGCAGGTCCCCTAGGTAACCCAGGTGTCTGTGACACCCCCGCACGCCATTCCTGGCACAGTACTCATCCAGGACAAACACCTGGCCCGGGCTGAACCATCCCTACACATTATATCAGAGAGGGGGTTTAGCAGTTTAGATTAGAACACCTGGCCGGGGCTAAACCATCCCTACACATCACATCAGAGCTATTTTAAAGAGGTTAGCACCATGATCTCAATCACAAACAAACCCCTTTCCCTGACTGAACCATGACCTCAGTCATATTAACAGTATACATTGTTCCAAGAAATGTCAGCATTTTGATAAAAAATACCTTTTTAGTGCCCAGGACTGTATTTATTCTCATTCCACCGTACCGTGGGTTTGGAGAATGCCACTCACCAGGCAGCAGAAGGTGTCATTGAGCCTGTGGTCCAACGTGAGCCTCTGGACGATCTCGAACAGGGAGGCGTGGTCGAAGCTACAGGGGTTAGCCGAGATAAACTCATCCATGCCATGTTTCTGAGCTCTGTCTGCGTCTGTGTCCAACCAGCACAGGGAAAAGGACAGGATTCAGAGGAAGAGGGTGTCAGTAAGGCACAGAGAAATAGTACAGCATATCTCTCTATCTCAACACAACACTGGGCCTGTCTGGCTAAGGCTACTGCTAGGGCAAATTATAAACACTTACAGCTTTACATTGTCAACTTGCATCATATCAGACAGAGTCAATAGAGCTTATCTGGATTGTGAAATAAGGAGCTACTGATGTGAATCTGTAGAAGCTTCATTAATAGTTCCCGCAAAACACCAGTCTCAATGTCAACAGTGAAGAGGCGACTCCGGCATGCTGACCTTCTAGGCAGAGTTGCAAAGAAAAACCATATCTCAGACTGGCCAATAAAAAGAAAAGATTAAGATGGGCAGTCTGAGATATGACTTTTTCTTTGCAACTCTGTCTAGAAGGTCAGCATCCCGGAGTCGCCTCTTCACTGTTGACGTTGAGACTGGTGTTTTGCGAGTACTATTTAATGAAGCTGCCAGTTGAGGACTTGTGAGGCGCCTGTTTCAATAAACTAGACACTAATGTATTTGTCCTCTTGCTCAGTTGTGGGGCCTCCCACTCCTCTTTATATTCTGGTTAGAGCCAGTTTGTGCTGTTCTGTGAAGGGAGCAGTACACAGCGTTGTACGAGATCTTCAGTTTCTTGGCAATTTCTCACATGGAATAGCCTTCATTTCTCAGAACAAGAATAGACTGACGAGTTTCAGAAGAAAGTTATTTGTTTCTGGCCATTTTGATCCTGTAATCGAACCCACAATTGCTGATGCTCCAGATACTCAACTAGTCTCAAGAAGGCCAGATGTATTGCTTCTTTAATCAGCACAACAGTTTTCAGCTGTGCTAACATAATTGCAAAAGGGTTTTCTAATGATCAATTAGCCTTTTAAAATGATAAACTTGGATTAGCAAACACAACGTGCCATTGGAACACAGGACTGATGGTTGCTGATAATGGGCCTCTGTACGCCTATGTAGATATTTCATAAAAAAATATGCCATTTGCAGCTACAATAGCCATTTACAACATGAACAATGTCTACACTGTATTTCTGATCAATTTGATCTATAGCAACTTGTAGACTAGACCAACAGACTATGTATCCCTGGTTTTGCTAGGCACTGACAAAAAAGGCCCTACCACAAGTTAAAAGGGAGAGAGGGGTGAACTAAGGTTAAGACAGAGGGGTGAGCACAGGGAAGAGAGAGGTGAGAGATGGGTGAGACAGGGAAGAAATGATAAGTGTGATAGAAAAATTGAAATTGTAGGGGGAGATAGAGTTCAAAAGTGAGGGTGTGAGAATGGGATGAAAAGGGAAACAGAGGGTGAACACAGAGAAAGAGAGAGAAGGGGACTGAGAAAGCGACTGAGACAGAGAGAGATAAATAGACGAGGGAGATACAGACTGTGCCAGGAAAGTGGGGAAGAAAGCGATAACGGAAGGGGTGGGATAGTTACGGGGGCAGTGGGGAAGGGTTGGGGTGAGAGAAAGTTTGTGATAGGGCAGAGTGAGGTGCATGATGTGTGATAGAAAGTGCTTGAAGGTGGGCGGGAAGAAGGGAGTGGGGAATATCTCTTCTGTTTGTTTTAAATGAGGAAATGGAGGTTGATTTTGGAATAACAGACTGAATGGACTATGGGGGCTATCATATTTTGTGAGTTCTTGTCGATGATGACGTCATCATCTAAAGGCAAGAAGATTGGTTAAAAAGATTGGATTGTTTTTCCATAATGAATATACAGTAATTCATAAATGCTCAATGACAAACATAATACTATCACATGCTGTAGAACAGTGTGACTTTTCATTGTGCTTTCAAAAATGTTTCAAAATCTTATGTCATGCATCTGCAGATCCATTTTCAGAGTTTGGATTCAATTTTTGGGGCATTCCTTTTACTCTTACCATTTGCAAGTTGACAATACTTGAGTGTGTTGCAGTGTATTCATGATCTCTACAGAGCACAACTAACAGGCATACCAACTACCGGAGTACAATTTGGTGCAAGTACATGGGTTTATAGCATGAAGCCAACAGAGGCAAAACTACATGTAGATCATTCTCTGGGAGATGGCAAGGGGTAAATAAAAATAAAAATTATGTAATTCCATCAACGCAATAATAGGCACATGACAAAGGTGTTCCCCTATTCAGGCAATCAAAGGGCAATCAAAATAAACCAAAATGAGATCTGTTCCCTCCTAGAGGTGCTACTATGGGGGGCAAGCTGCTGTCTACAGGCCCATCTAGTAAGAGGGTTCTTCCAGAGTATTGTATGGTAAGGAGCGGTGCCATTGGCTACTCCTTGTCATCTGCATTCAGAATACTCCACGTACATATTTGCCAACTCTCGTGAACAGAGGACAAAAGAAAAGAACCAAAAGCAATTGAGCCATGGCCGCTGAGGAGTATTTTTCTCCACTCATTTTTTGGGGGATTTATCAGGGGGTGCTGTAGCACCCTCAGCACCCCTACTTCCCACGGCTATGAATTGAGCCCTCGGAAGTAAAGCATGACCCATGTTACCCTGCTAAAAGGGTCCAAACTAATCACAACCAAAATGTTCAACATGTCACAGCTTTCTAACTGCTCTACTCTGAAAAATGTATTGAACAATATGGAAATGTTCAATCATTTGTTAGTGATGTAAAGAATTGTAGGACTTTCTAAAACAAAACAAGCTTGATTACAAGCCCTGAAGTTCCCTTAGGGGGAAAAAATTGACTGTCCACTACTGCGCTCTAAAATTGAATTTCCATAACTGCTGATGGATTCACAACTAGATTGCCTAAAGCAGTCATTTAGTGTATTTTATTTTCTGATGGCATCATGTCACATTGGGCCATCTCTCTGCTTTACTCTGAGGGGTCCTTGGACACCAATAAGATTAAGGAGAGAAGGCAATTATGCAACAAAAAAACATAATAATAACCATAATATAAACTACAACCAAATGATAAGTCTAAGAATCAAATACATGCATCCTAAACCGTCAAGAATGGAAGCTTATAGCTACTTCAAATCTCAGATTGAGGAGAAATCAAACATAAAAATACGTTTTCTACTGTCTAAAGACATGAAGTGAGGGTACTTAAGAGGAGGAGGATAGGGAAAGAGGAGAGAAAGCACGTTGCATTTGTCAGATAATCGTTGGGGATTATCTGATCTGTGCCAGCTATAGGGAAGCACTTACCCTTAAGTCCAGCTAGAAGACAGCGGGGTAAGAAGGGACAAACCAGAATAACATAAAGACTAGCAACAAGGCTGGAGGAGAGCAAACACGAGAGTCCCTGACCTAGCAGTTGCAATACTAAAGAAGGGTAACAAGCAAAGCATGAGTAAGAAAAACACAACTCAAAAAACAACAACCTGTACCAAAATGAGAGAGAGAGAGAGAGAGAGAGAGAGAGAGAGAGAGAGAGAGAGAGAGAGAGAGAGAGAGAGAGAGAGAGAGAGAGAGAGAGAGAGAGAGAGAGAGAGAGAGAGAGAGAGAGAGAGAGAGAGTGGTGTGTGGGCGGTGGTGGTGTGCTGAGCATGTGTGGATATGTGAGCTGGAGAGCGAGAGAGAGAGAGAGGGAGAGAGAGACATGTAGAGTGAAAGAGAGAAGATCAAGAGACAGAGAAGGAAAGAGAGGGCCAGTGAGAGCATGACAGAAAAAAAAAGAGAGAGAAAGCGTTAGAGAGAAGGGTTATCATCACTCTGCTGCGGTTGATTTAGTCTGGATTCTGATCTAGTTATAGTACAGATGTAGGATCTTAATTTGAGCCAGTTTTCTATAGCAGGAAATTAATCCTGCAGCAACAGGAAATGTGAATTATTATGTGGATTATAATTATTTTCCGTAGTCGTTTTTACATTTTTCGTAAGGCAAAATCAAGTCTGAAATTTCAAAGTGGAATTGACAAGCCTTTTTAAACCTCAAACACACTGTATACAAGTGGTAAATGTCCTGCATTACAGGGAGGTTATCCTGCAACAGGGTGATCAAATTAAGATCCTACATCTGTATCTTATTCTAACATACATTATACATTACCATCACAATATGATAGCTTCACTTTGCTTTCTCCAGTTTATACTAGAGGAGGACTGGACCATCCAGCAGTCAAACAACAACTTCTAGTTCTACTATTATTATTATGTGTAAATGATGCCAGTGTCCTCTTCTGAATCTATGAAGGCACTGGACAGCTTACAAGATAATGTTTAGAGGAAAAATAGATGAACAGTAATAACATAATCTAAATAGATAACTCCATTGGAATTCACCTGACATATCCACCTAATGTCATTTTATCAGAATATTGTATTATTATGTGGATATGAATATCGGAGTCCACTTAAAGCAAAGTGATGCTGTCTGGTAATGAGCAGTGACACTCATAACTTCTCTGGTAAGTACTGTACTCTCCTATCTTTCCAAATCAGTGCTCCGGAACCTTCATAGCATCTAGATAAAATATCTGCAGCAGAGCTTTGATGGGAGAGAGAGAGACAAAGACTGAGATAGATAGAGAGAGATAGAGAGAGAGAGAGGCGAATAACAGGGTGGTGTGGTGTATGTTATGGCCCCTGTGCCATTCAAGACCACCAGGGTGGGGTGAAACATGTACGTTTGGTGTGGCACAGTGTTTCAGAGAGGAGGGGGGTAGAGGGAGGAGGTCTGTGCCACTGTGAGGGGGCATTGAATGGCATCAGAATGGCTGGTCTTATATAGTGGAGGTAACCAAATAACCAGAAGAACGATCACATATTCAACAAAGACACCAATGGAGAGACCACAGGGAATTTTTGTCTATAGATTATGTTTATAGAAACGGATGAAAACTAGAGTGTAATTAATTAAAAACATATATTTTCTACAACCCATTAATTCTAACCAAACGGTTTGGACATTAGAATAATCCTTAAAATAACTAAAGGAGTTGAAGGAAGGATGCCCACCAAAATAAGTTATCGTGTTCGTTTTTGAATAGCAGGATCTATTACTGTGGAGTGTTCTTTAGTAGCCTGGTTAACCAGACTGAATGATGCACTCACCTTATTGAAACAATGGTGAGCACAGCATTCAGTCTGGTTTTACCAGGCTAGTTCTTTAGTGTTGTAAAATAACAGAATGAGCTGGCTACTAAAGGGTACTAATTCCCCAAGTTCAACCTGTTCAGGTTTCAGTGTGTTTACGAAGTGTAAAAAAAATCTAAGTGTATTACGATGCATGCATATCATGTTAGCTTAAAATCCTTTTGTCCTATTTCATTGTTAAACTGTGATTCAAAGTGAGGTTTTAAATAAGGGGCAGGGGACACAGAAGAGATGGTTACAACAGGAAGTAGGTAGGTACGTGTTGCAGAAGCCACATTACTAGAGACAGTCTTACCTTCACTTTGCTACTGTACAGTATATGACCAGTGGGGGTAGGTAGGCTGCTTAAAGGTACAAGTAGAGTGGCAAGTTGAGAAGCAGTTAACACTACAGAGAAGGCTGACTGAGCAGTGGCTGGACTGAGACAGGGCCGGGCTGAGCGGGGACTCAGAAAGTCATCACTCTCTGTTACAGCTGTTGTTTTCCACCATACAACATGCTGGGGTCTGGGGGTGTTTAGGCAATACTCCCTGACACCTTAGCAGTGTCACAAAAACAACACTTAAGTACCACTGTTAACTCAAAACATTCTCAAAAGATTCAAAAGGTTTCAAAAGGATTCAAAAGGCTAAAAGGTGCTAAGCTTGATGTTTCATGACCAAATCATCTTCTTAGTGGTTTAATCTAGATTCTACGTCAATGGCCGTCATTCAGTCTTTCTCTTTAGTTTGTCAGCTTGGTTGATGTTTAGAGAGAGACAGGGCAGACCGATGGGGGAAGAGTCATATGAAGTTGCACCTTTAAACACGTCATGTGTGACTGGTTGGTGACGATGAGTGGAGGCCCAAAAGATGCTGAGTACTCTGTGTGAAACAGCAAAGAGAGGGAAGTGTGTGCGTGTGTGTTAACTTTAGTTCTACAGAGCAACGTGTTTAAGTATGTGGCTGCAGTATGGCGTGGGGAGAGACGCATGGCGTAGTGAAACGTTATGGGTGAGAGCTGTCACTGGATTGTGGGGATGAAACCTGAAACTGCCTGATGCTGAGGTTGTGTATTGGTTTACTTACAGAACTGGGAGATGGGCGCATCCATCTGAGCGGCGGCGCCCCCCTTGGAGTTTAGTTTCTGGACCTGGGTGGGGGGCACAGGCTTGTGGGACTGACCGGTGGCCCGGTACATGGCCTGGACCCACAGGATGCGGTCCTGCTCGTCATCACTGGCAAAGATCACAGTGTCGCCCTCCTTCACCGCATTGAAGAACGCCCTGCCGCCATCCAAACCTAGAGACAGAGAGGAGGGTTTAGGGACAGGTTGTGTGTGTGCGTGCATTTGTGTGTGTGTGTGTGTGTGTGTGCGTGCATCCATCTGTGATTGCGTGCATGTGTGCGTGCATGTGTGTATATATGTACCTGGCTGGGGGTCAGTGTAGTCCACAGTGTAGCCATCCAGCTGTAGCAGCTCCTGTGGCTCAGACTTCTTCTCTCTGTAGCTGCACATGGCAAAGGTGTACTGGCTCACCTACAACAGAGAGGACAGACACGTCATACACTTCATCTGCTCAGGAACATGGTGAATTGCTGTGATTTATCGAGCTTCTTTCGAGGTAAGAAGGCGATTAAAAAGTGATTATCTTTGTGTGTGAAAACGACCCCTTTAGGCAGATACAGTTACAGTCACGATTCACTATTTCTGCTAAAATAAGTTGAAATTGAAAAAACCTTTGGTGTTCACACGTGTTGTATTTGTTTGATTTACAACTGCACAGGACCAATAAAAAAATGGCCTGGACTAAATTATTCAGAATTCAAATTCATTTGGTTGGAGGCAGGTGATTCTCATTTACTGTGTAATTTATCTCACTTGTGGCAAGTTGTAGTTGCCTACAGGGTAAACATAGCCATTCAACAAGTTTTGAAAAGAGAAAATAGAGCATTCTACTCCATTTTCACTCCATTGTAAAGTGCAAGGGTGCCAATACATTTGACCACAACTGTATGTTATTGGTTGTTTTGGTGATGTAATCATTTGAATGACCTTTCATTTGACCAGACCAAAGACCTGATATTTCAGAGGCTGATGATGTACCAACCTGCACCAGGACGAAGAAACGCTTCTTCCAGCGCTTCCAGACGTTTTTCCCAAAAGCCCACAAATACCTGCCAGAAAAAAATGTTTAACAATTGCTACATGGCAATGTAATGATTACATGGTAATGGTATGACAATTGGCTATTGTTGTTTCCTGTGTTGTAACAACAGCAACAGAATCAGAAGGTTTAGCCCACACTACATTCATAGCAAGGAGTGTATCCCCTACTACAAAGAAAAGAGAGGCTGACCTAATCACTGTTCATAATATGATGATGTTGTAAATGTTTTGATGTTTTATGCAGAGTGGATGACCCTGGGTTGGCGCAGTGAGAATGAGTCACGTTGGCCTGGAAGCTAGTGTCTTTGTTGCTCTCTAAATGTAAAACAAAGCCAGTAGTACCACCAGAGGGGGTAGAACAATACAATGCACTATAGCTAGAAATTAGGCCAGGAAGGAACCAAGGAGGAGGCCGGAGGAGTTGTAGAAATGGATGAAAAGGTACAAATAAATCCCAAAAGAAAACCCTCGCTGGAGATCCTCCTCTGCTCCTCTGGTCTCATGAGAATGTTGAGCATTAAAGTAGCAGACTTTATTTATTTTTATACCAGGTCCCATTGGGATCAGAAGACCTCTTTCCTAAGGAAGACCTGCATGGCAGTTTTCCTTGCTTGCCCAGAATGCTTCATGTTCTGCGGCTTGTCCATGCTTAACCAGAATTATTCATGTTTTACAGCTTGTCCATGCATACCCAAAATGCTTCATGTTCTGCGGTTTGTCCATGCTTACCCAGAATTCATTTTTTGCAGCTTGTCCATTCATACCCAGAATTCTTCATGTTCTGTGGTCTGTGCATGCTTACCCAGAATGCGTCATGTCCTGCGGCTTGTCCATGCTTACCCAGAATGCTTCATGTTCTGCGGTTTGTCCATGCGGATGGCCAGTTTGATCTGAAGGTTCTGGTCGGGGCAGGCCTTGGTGAGGGCCATCTTATGGAGCTCTGATGCCTTGGGGCTGTTAGGGGTCGGGTGGAGGACCACCTAGAGGAGAAAAGTATTAGACAAATTAAGATTAAGAGAGAGATTAAGATATTAAGAAATCTGATGATGACTACACAATTACATTTTTTTATCCTTTATTTTTTAAAGGGGCAATGCAGTCAAAAACTAGATTTTCACGTTTTTTTGTGTGGTATTTACAAACTATGACAGTGGTATTTAAAATGAGGGTCGTGACCCAGGGGAACTGCAGTGGGGTCGCCAAAAAAATAAATAAAAAATAAATAAATAAAAAGAGTACAGCCACTTGTATAGGACAATATTCCATTTTTTGGGGGGGAGAAATCTAATTTCAAAAAGATCAACAAAAAAATTGAAATAATATTAATAATAATAATAATAATAATAATAATAACTGTCATTTCAGCCTGTTCAGGTGGGATATATATGGAGTTGGTCCCCCCTTTGCTGCTATAACAGCCTCCACTCTTCTGGGAAGGCTTTCCACTAGATGTTGGAACATTGCTACAGGGACTTGATTCCATTCAGCCACAAGATCATTAGTGAGATCGAGCACAGATGTTGGGCGAGTAGGCCTGGCTCGCGGTCGGCGTTCCAATTCATCCCAAAGGTGTTCGATGGGGTTGAGGTCAGGTCTCTGGGCAGGCCAGTCAATTTCTTCCACACTGATGTCGACAAACCATTTCTGTATGGCCCTCGCTTTGTGCACGGGGGCATTGTCATGCTGAAACAGGAAAGGTCCTTCCCCAAATTGTTGGAAGCACAGAATCATCTAGAATGTCATTGTATGCTGTAGCGTTAAGATTTCCCTTCAATGGAACTAATTGGCCTAGCCCAAACCATGAAAAACAGCCCCAGACCATTATTACTCCTCCACCAAATGTTCTCCTGGCATCCGTCGGACTGCCAGATGGTGAAGCGTGATTCATCACTCCAGAGAACGCGTTTCCACTGCTCCAAAGTCCAATGGCGGCGAGGTTACACCACTCCAGCCTACGCTTGGCATTGTGCATGGTGATCTTAGGCTTATGTGCGGCTGCTCGGCCATGGAAACCCATTTCATGAAGCTCCCGACGAACAGTTATTGTGCTGACGTTGCTTCCATATGCAGCTTGGAACTTGGTAGTGAGTGTTGCATCGATTTTTACACGCTACGCACATCAGCACTCGGCGGTCCCATTCTGTGAGCTTGTGTGGCCTACCACTTCGCGGCTGAGCCATTGTTGTTCCTAGACATTTCCACTTCACAATAACAGCACTTACAGTTGACCGGGGCAGCTTTAGCAGGGCAGAAATTTGACGAACTGACTTGTTGTGAAGGTGGCATCCTATGACGGTCCCACATTGAAAGTCACTGAGGTATTCAGTAGTCATTCTACTGCCAATGTTTGTGTGGTCAATTTTTTTCACCTTTCAACAACGGGTGTGCCCGAAATAGCCAAATCCATTAATTTGAAGGGGTGTCCACATACTTCTGTATGCATTCGGAAAGTATTCAGACCCCTTGACTTTTTCCACATTTTGTTACGTTACAGCCTTATTCTAAAATTGATTAAATAGTTTTTTTCACCTCATCAATCTACACACAAAACCCCATACTGACAAAGCAAAAACAGGTTTTATAAAATTTTGCAAATGCATTAAAAATAAAAAACTGAAATATCACATTTACGTTAGTATTCAGACCCTTTACTCAGTACTTTGTTGAAGCACCTTTGGCAGCGATTAGAGCCTTGAGTCTTCTTGGGTATCTCTGCAGTTCCTCTCAAGCTCTGTCAGGTTGGATGGGGAGCGTCGCTGCACAGCTATTTTCAGGTCTTTCCAGAGATGTTAAATTGGGTTAAAGTCCAGACTCTGGCTGGGCCACTCAAGGACATTCAGAGACTTGTCCTGAAGTCACTCCTGCGTTGTCTTGGCTGTGTCTTGGCTGTGTGCGCAGGGTTATTGTCCTGTTGGAAGATGAACCTTGAGGAATCTTGAGGTCCGCTCTGGAGCAGGTTTTCATCAAGGATCTCTCTGTACTTTGCTCCGTTCATCTTTCCCTCTCCCAGTCCCTGCCACTGAAAAACATCCCCACAGCCTGATGCTGACACCACCATGCTTCACCGTAGGGATGCTGCCAGGTTTCCTCCAGATGTGATGCTTGGCATTCAGGCCAAAGAGTTCAATCTTGGTTTCATCAGACCAGAGAATCTTGTTTCTCATGGTCTGGGAGTTCTTTAGGTGCCTTTTGGCAAGCTCCAAGCGGGCTGTCATGTGCCTTTTACTGAGGAGTGGCTTCCATCTGGCCACTCTACCATAAAGGTCTGATTGGTGGAGTGCTGCAGAGATGGTTGTCCTTCTGGAAGTTTCTCCCAACTCCACAGAGGAACTCTGGAGCTCTGTCAGAGTGACCATCGGGAGGCCATTGTGTTCTTGGGGACCTTGAATGCTGCAAAAAAATATGTTGTACCCTTCCCCAAATCTGTGCCTCGACACAATCATGTCTCAGATCTTTACGGACAATTCCTTCGACCTCATGGCTTGGTTTTTGCTCTGACATGCACTGTCAACTGTTGGACCTTATATAGACAGGTGTGTGCCTTTCCAAATCATGTCCAATCAATTGAATTTACCACAGGTGGATTCCAATCAAGTAGCAGAAACATCTCAAGGATGATCAGTGGAAACAGGATGCACCTGAGCTCAATTTCGAGTCTCATAGCAAAGGATCTGAATACGTATGTAAATAAGGTATTTATACTTTATTTAAATATGAAATTAGCAAACATTTCTAAAAACGTGTTTTCACTTTGTCATTATGGGGTATTGTGTGTAGGTTGATGAGGAATCAAATGTATTTAATCCATTTTAGAATAAGGCTGTAATGTAACAAAATGTGGACAAAGGGAAGGGGTCTGAATACTTTCTGAATGCACTGTATAGTGTATATTTAAATTTGCATTAACACGCCTACACGATCAGACTGAGCATTTCAATGGCAAAAGGAGGCTCAGGGAAAATAATGATAGAAAATATATTTGGAATTATTTTCATGAAATAAACACAAACAGGGATTTATTAGACATACAGTGATGATAAAAAAAAAGTTATATTGAAAGACTCCATGGGGGCTTTAACCATGTGAGTCCCATTGAGATATACATATATTATTTAAGGAAGCCCTGGCCAAGAGGAAGCAAAACTGTGCTGGATACTACAGTTGAGATGTAACAACGTAACCACCTCTGAGAGATATGTATATATTGTACATGTGTAAGCAACACATAATGTGCATATCCACAAGGTTTATTGGAGAGATCTCTGGTCTGTATCCATCCCTCCATCCATCCAGTCAGTCAGTCAGTCAGTCAGTATTTAGCACCACGAGTCAGCATTCTCAAGGATTCTGAACACTCAATTAATTTAGAAGAGTTTCCATTAAATCGTGCTCTGGCAGCCCAGGCCCCAGTGTGCATGTGCTGCGTGTCACGTTTGAGCCGGTGGCTCAGCCTATCTGTGTAGCTGTGTTGCCATATCAAAGGAGAGAAAAAGCCAGCAGCCCCAAAGGAGAGAGAATCCCAGCAGCTGACTGACTGCCTGCCTGACTGCCTCTCTGCCCCTGCAGCAGGAGATCAAAGAGCCCCTGTCACAGCCAAGGTCGCTCCCACTGGGCTAAAACTGGTTGAATCAATGTTTTTTCCACATCATTTCAACAACAAAAATCAATGTGATGACCTTAAATCAATGTGGAAAACGGACTGAATTTGCAAAAAGTCATCGTAATGGAATTTTACCTTTTTTTAAATCCAACTTTTAAACTAAATCCAATGACATGGCAAATTGTTTTGTTGATTTCACGTTAGTTGACAACTCAACCAAATATAAATGAAGACTAGATGTTGAACTGACGTCCGTGACCAGTGGGCAGCCTAGCTAAGGCTGTCCGGCACACTGTCCCAGGACGATCGATGGCTCTCTCTCTGCACTAGAGGATAGGAGAGCCCAGCAAAGCAGATGATTAAGACATCTCTGCATGACTTACATTTTAGTAATTTAGCAGACGCTCTTACCGAGAGCGACTTTCATGAGCAATTAGAGTTAAGTGCCTTGCTCAAGGGCACATCCGCAGGCTTTTTACCTAGTCGGCTTGGGGATTCGAACCAGTGACCTTTCAGTTACTGGCCCAACACTCTTAACCGCTAGGCTACCTACCGCCATGTTCCTGTCATACAGTGCATTCGGAAAGTATTCACACCCCTTGACTTTTTCAAAATTGTGATACTTTACAGCCTTATTCTGAAATAGATTAAATAGTTTTTCCCCCTCATCAATTTACACACAATACCCCATAATGACAATGCAAAAACTGTTTTGTTAGATTTTTTTGCAAAGTTATTAAAAATTAAAAACTGAAATATGACATTTACATAAGTATTCAGACCCTTTACTCAGTAATTTTTTTAAGCACCTTTGGCAGCAACTAAAGCCTTGAGTCTTCTTGGGTATGAAGCTACAAGCTTGGCACACCTGTATTTGGGGAGTTTCTCCCATTCTTCTCTGCAGATCCTCTCAAGCTCTGTCAGGTTGGATGTGGAGCATCGCTGCACAGCTATTTTCAGGTCTCTCCAGAGATGTTTGATCGGGTTCAAGTTCAGGCTCTGGCTGGGCCACTCAAGGACATTCAGAGACTTGTCCCGAAGCCACTCCTGCGTTGTCTTTGATGTGTGCTTAGGGTCGTTGTCCTGTTGGAAGGTGAACCTTCGCCCCAGTCTGATGTCCTGAACGCTCTGGAGCGGTATTCATCAAGATCTCCCTGTATTTTTCTCTGATCATCTTTCCCTCGATCCTGACTAGTCTCCCAGTCCCTGAAAACATCCCTGCAGCATGATGCTGCCACCACCATGCTTCACCGTAGGGATGGTACCATGTTTCCTCCAGATGTGATGCTTGGCATTCAGGCCAAAGAGTTCAATCTTGGTTTCATCAGACCATAGAATCTTGTTTCTCATGGTCTGAGAGTCCTTTAGGTGCCTTCTGGCAAACTCCAAGCGAGCTGTCATGTGCCTTTTACTGAAGAGTGGCTTCCATCTGGCCACTACCATAAAGGCCTGATTGGTGGAGTAAAGGCCTGATGGTTGTCCTTCTGAAAGGCTCTCCCATATCACAGAGGATACTCTGGAGCTCTGTCAGAGTGATCATTGGGTTCTTGGTCACCTCCCTGACCAAGGCCAATCTCCCCCGATTGCTCAGTTTGGCAGTGCGGCCACCTCTAGGAAGAGTCTTGGTGGTTATAAACGTATTCTATTTAAGACTGATGGAGGCCACTGTGTTCTTGTGGACCTTCAATGCTGCAGAAATGTTTTGGTACCCTTCCCCAGATCTGTGCCTCAACACAATCCTGTCTCGGAGCTCTACGGATAATTACTTCGACCTCATGGCTTGGTTTTTGCTCTGACATGCACTGTCAACTACCTTTCCAAATCATGTTCAATCAATTGAATTTACCACAGATGGACTCCAATCAAGTTGTAGAAACATCTCAAGGATTATCAATGGAAACAGGATGCACCTGAGCCCTAGGGAGTTGGGGCTAGGGGTCGATGTGGAATCCAGCAAAACTGTGTACTAAGTGACATCACAGCTCAGTGTATGGATGGCTGGGGCAACCTGGGCTTCTAGTTCAACAACCAGGAGAAATGTATTGGCCTAAAATGCAAAGGTTTAAAACAATACAAACAAGATATATACAGTACAAGTCCATATTATGGCAAGAACAGCTCAAATAAGCAAAGAGAAATGACAGTCCATCATTACTTTAAGGTCAGTCAATACGGAACATTTCAAGAACTTTTAAAGCTTCTTCAAGTGCAGTCGCAAAAACCATCAAGCGCTATGATGAAACTGGCTCTCATGAGGACCGCCACAGGAATGGAAGACCCGGGGTTACAGTTGAAGTCGGAAGTTTACAAACACTTAGGTTGGAGTCATTAAAACTCGTTTTTCAACCACTCCACACATTTATTGTTAACAAACTATAGTTTTGGCAAGTCGGTTAGGACATCTACTTTGTGCATGACACAAGTAATTTTTCCAACAATTGTTTACAGACAGATTATTTCACTTATAATTCATTGTATCACAATTCCAGTTGGTCAGAAGTTTACATATACTAAGTTGACTGTGCCTTTAAACAGCTTGGAAAATTCCAGAAAATGATGTCATGGCTTTAGAAGCTTCTGATAGGCTAATTGACATCATTTGAGTCAATTTGAGGTGTACCTGTGGATGTATTTCAAGGCCTACCTTCAAACTCAGTGCCTCTTTTCTTGACATCATGGGAAAATCAAAAGAAATCAGCCAAATCAGTGGTTGAAAAACTAGTTTTAATGACTCCAACCTTAGTGTAGAGAGAGAGAGAGAGAGAGAGAGAGAGAGAGAGAGAGAGAGAGAGAGAGAGAGAGAGAGAGAGAGAGAGAGAGAGAGAGAGAGAGAGAGAGAGAGAGAGAGAGAGAGAGAGAGAGAGAGAGAGAGAGAGAGAGAGTGTTACCCTGCCCAGCTCTTTATCCTCCAGGGCCAGCACTCCAGTGCTTTCTGTAAACAGTTTCACCTTGACGGCAGGGAGGGGGTGTGTGGTGGTGAAGTCTCCCTGGGTCCCCCAGCTGAAACACAACACACACACACACACTTAAGAAGCATGTAACCTTCCCTACATTATTGCATGACACAGCTCTCAAGACATGGACGCATGTCCAACATCTACAGGGCTGTAGCTTTAGGCAAGGATGCAAACAAACACAGACATACAACCTGTGCACAGTCATTTAATTTGGAAGGTGATTTATTTTATTTTTTATATTTGCAGACTTTACAGCAAAAGTGATATCAGCCAACATTCTGGAATTGCCTTTAAAAGTCTATCCCTGTGCTCAGGTCATTTGATTGAATCCTAGCCTAAATTAACATCTACCTGGCCCAGAGGTATTGCACAAGATCCACTAAAATCGCCTTCCCTCTTTTCCGTTTATCTCTCTCTCTCTTTCTCTCTGTCTGTCTGTCTGTCTGTCTGTCTGTCTGTCTGTCTGTCTGTCTGTCTGTCTGTCTGTCTGCGGTTCTTTTTCTCTCATCCTCTTTCCCAAAAGTCGATATCTGCGCTCTCAGAAAGAGTGAGAGGTGGTTATTAAAAAAGAACACTTTAAAACCAAAGTGGAAAAGTAAAAAACAATAAACTGGGGCCGTGTAAGCTATGTACTGCTCAGTTATGAGACAGACTGAGAATAGCAGCTGACACTTTATTTGTCATGGCCGTTTCTCCTCCTGCTATGAGCTGCATCTGTGAGTGAAAATGTCTCCCTCCTCCGCCTCACTGACATTCCCACTCAACAACACCAGGGGGAGATAGTGGTGTCTCATCTCACAATGGGAATGTGAATGGAATGTTACTGTTTCACATTGGCCCCTTAGTTCTACTACCTATATTGATCATTTATTTAGTATGATTATATACAATAAGAATGAGAGCATTACTGTATTATATTCAGGGATCAACTAAATGACACCAGATCCTAGATCAGTCAGGACACGTCTCATCCTGTACAAGGAGTACACACAGTGCCTGTGTGCAGTATGTGTGTGTGATGGTGTATGCGATGAATAAGCAGACAGCTAGCTAGCAGCACGAGATGCTTGTCATTTCCAGGAGTGCTGGAGGGGGACTCTCTCCTGCTCCATTGAGATGCCGTGTCCTAATCACTCTACCCGCCTGGCTGCACTGGAGTAGGGCAACACACAGAGACTGCTCTCCCCATCTCTCTACCTCCATCTCTCCTTCGCTCTACTTCCATCTCTCTACTTCCATCTCCCCATCTCTCTACCTCCATCTCCCCATCTCTCTCTCTTTACCCTCTCTCTTTTTCCCTCTCTTTACCCTCTACCTCTCTAGCTTCTATTTCCTCCTCTCTCCCCCGCCTCTCCCCCCTCTCTCTCCCCCGCCTCTTCCCCCTCTCTCTCCCCCGCCTCTCCCCCCTCTCTCCCCCATCTCATTCGCTCTCATCTTTCTCCCCCTTTTCTCTACCACTTTGTCTGTCATCCTGTCATTTTGTATTTTCATGCCTGTCCTTCATCTATCTCTCTCCTCTTTCTCCCTCTGTCCCCCTTCTCTCTCTCTACTATTTTTCTCTCATCTCCCTCTCATTATAAAATGGCACCTGAATCAGTGAGAGAGCAAGAGGACGAGTCTCTAAAACAGTTAATAATCACGAGCTGAACATCACATCACAGGAGAGTGGCTGGCATCACAGACACACTGTAACATTACAGACTGCTTCCTTTATAACAGCAGACAGACTCAGGATCCAGTCTGCGAACACCCATTCACATGATAATTCCTTCATCATCATCATCATCATCATCACCACTTTTAACATTCAGGAAGGGTTGACGAAAGGCTGTAACCACAATGAACCTGAACCAACTTAAGGTGTTGAACCCGAAGAGATAGTTTTGATATGTATCTATATGGCAGAGAAAGAGATAGAAGGTTCTTACGTTGGCTTGGAGGCCTCAGCCTGGTCTGTCTGCAGTTTCTCCCCTCCCTCCACCTCCATGGTGCAGTACACGATCCTGTTAGGAGCCAGAGACTTCAGGCCCACCACCTCCATGATCACCACCTGGAGGGAATAAACAGCAGGTCGTGAAACCACGGGTGTATGCGGTAAGGTTCACAATGTAGCAGAAATGTATCAAATATAGAGCTGACATTACTCTGGTCTAGTTTTTTATGTATTTCTTTATTTAACTTTTATTTAACTAGGCAAGTCAGTTAAGAACAAATTCTTATTTATAATGACGGCCTACACCGGCCAAACCTGGACGACGCTGGGCCAATTGTGCGCTGCCCTATGGGACTCCCAATCACGGCCGGTTGTGATACAGCCTGGAATCGAACCAGGGGGTCTGTAGTGACGCCTCAAGCACTGAGATGCAGTGCCTTAAACCGCTGTGCTTCTCGGGAGCCTAGTCTAGACAATATATTTATATCTGAGTGTTCTGTTACGTTGCACCCTCCTGAACAGGCCCAAGCACTCACCCTGTAAAGCCATGAACCATTAACCCCTAACTGTCTATGGTGCCCTATACATGACTACAACACGCTCCGTGACCTTGTTGATCCAAGACATAAACCAACAAAGGTACAGTAAATGCATATAACCTCATAAAAAACCCATTAACGAATACATTTGTCACACCCTGATCTGTTTCACCTGTCTTTGTGATTGTCTCCACCCCCCTCTAGGTGTCGCCCATCTTCCCCATTATCCCCAGTGTATTTATACCTGTGTTCTCTGTTTGTCTGTTGCCAGTTTGTTTTGTTTTGTCAAGCCGACCAGCTGTTTTCCCCTTGCTCCTGTCTTTCTCAAGTTTCCTAGTTTTCCTGGTTTTGACCATTCTGCCTGCCCTGACCCTGACCCTGAGCCTGCCTGACATTCTGTACCTTGTCACACCACCCTGGATTATTGACCTCTGCCTGCCCTGACCTTGAGACTGCCTGCCGTTCTGTACCTTTTGGACTCTGATCTGTATTACTGACCTCTGCCTGCCCTTGACCTTTCGCTTGCCTGCCCCCTGTTTTTGTAATAAACTTTTGTTACTTCGACACTGTCTGCATCTGGGTCTTCTCCTGAAACGTGATACATCACTCTAAAAGTCATTAACCCCCTAAGCTCTATTGGTCAACAACATTTACGGTATGTCTTAAACCAGTGATTCTCAACTGGTGGGTCGTGGCCCAAATTTGGGTCATGGGAGGTTTTGAATGGGTGTATGAATAAAAAAGAATGTTGATGAAAAATACTCCAGTCTGAATGACTAAACAACTAAAACCAGGTAGAAAGTGGTAGAAAGTGATTACATAATTTCATCTCTGAATAATTTTTCTTCAATCACACTATTTTCAATATAGATTATCAGCTCTATTTAGTGGATTTGGTAGATTTTGTGGTCTCAAACCAGTGAGCTTATTACCATTCTCCATCAAGAATATGATCCATTTGTAATTATGGACAATGAAAAATGTTGTTCCCTTGTCATATAATTGCTCCATTCACTCCCAGCATAGCATAAAAAGTACAGTAGTTTTCCAGATTGTATTTTGGCAAAAAGAAAATTGAGATGTGAATATTACTAAGACAACCTGGTTCAATTTGGGTCCTGACCTAAAACCAGTTGAGAACCACTGTCTTAAACTACACTACACCCCGACTGAGAGAAAGATGCTAACATTTAGGCCTACTCAAGCAAACTAGAACTCATTATCATTAAAAAGGGAAAGACAATGGGGGCCAAAAACCCCATCACTAAATTCCATGACAGAAGCTACAAATCAGGCCAGCCTCTCCAATCTATAAAGCAGTAGTTTCAGTCCTAGCACCATAATCACTGCATCTGCTCTGCTCCCCACTACAATCAACTGCTGAGACTGGGAGGGAGCAGTATTAATCTGCCCATGCTAAAATTATACTTCCTTCTCCTAAAGTAGCTAAGGGAACAGAAACAGCTCTTCTGCATATACTGAATTCTCTTAGATCATTCATCATAACAGGAGTTATTATGATGAGTAATGAAGTTGCTATGAAATGTTTTATTTTATTTCACTACATTATCCAGGTCTACCTTGTGATCTGTGATTTATAACTAAACAATGGAAGTATACCCCAGTGATTGGGGTGTACTCTAGAGGAGTCATTTAGGCAGATTGTTCTTCCTGAAAGCTTCCATCTATTTTTCTTCTCCTTCTTTATGGCTAGAGGGCCATCTGTTTGCAATCTATACTGGGTTTATATTCAAAAGCGTATCAGAGTACGAGTGCTGATCTAGGATCAGTTTTATTTTTCATAATTTCATTATTAATCAACTTTATTTTATTTTATGTACTACGCAGAAATTCTGGTGTTTCTACATCAAACTGCTTTTTTATATTTCAGTCTTCTGTGATGTATATAAAGTGTAACATTGTGATGGAAACTCAAAATTGAATACATTTCAACTCTATATCTGACATGGTACAGGTGACTTCTTTTTTTAAACCCATACCATGTGTGTGAGGTGTATACTTTTGCTTCAAAGTAGATTTGTTTAAGACAACCAAGAAGAACTCTGTGTGACCCTGATTTAGCCCACTGCAGTAAAAGGTTAAAGAATGATGTTTAAGCCTTTAAGTACAATTCTTACAAGGTTGATTGGCTGGTAGCTTATTCTTTAGATTTTTGGAGCTGATGGTGAACCATGATGTGCAGGCTTAATCAAAGTGACACTGGACTAGCGCCCTTGCCAGAGTCTTTAGGGTGTCTATAGCTAGGTTTATATCCAATTGGTTACTGATTTTCATGTGAATATTCTAAAATCTTCTTAAAAACAATATGCCATTTCAGAGTTTCCTTTAGGAACATTTGCACTGGACAACATGACAGGGAAGATTTTTATTTACCGGACATTTGAGAAGTTTTATGGAAATCCACATGCATTCAGATCCAAACTGTCGCATCAATAAACAAGGGATGTTGGCCAAATGAGCCACAATTACATGTCCTTAAAACAGCCTATAACAAATTACAAAAACACTATTCTTTATGTTTCGATGTGTAGCATATGCAAACATTTTATAGACTATTCTTTGGGGGGGGGGGGGGGGGGGGGGGTTAGGCTACTTTAATAACAGAATAATTGTCCACCTCACGGTTCAGCTGTCAGAGATTTTAGCACTAAATGTATCAGGGTATTGCATGCAAAGGCCTATAGGCTTAGGTGTCCACTGTATGACATTCATATTTGAATATATATATATATATATATAAATATATAAATAAAGGAAGAGAAGCTTAGGTATAACCCCAGAGAGATAGAGATATGCCCGTGGCATGCTACGACACCGACATGCATTTCTTTATGTCAGATGGCTACTGCATCTGCTATACAGATATAGACGTACAAAAAGAGGGTAATCTGTTAATTTTCAATCCAAATATGTTGCATAAAGATAAGTATTATATTGTTAGATTATAGGAGTAACTCTGGTAGGTCTGAAACAGTCTTCCTCACCTCAAGTTTAACTGTCGGTGTCAGTTGGAGCGCCGGGGCGCACTGCCTTCATATCATAGACCTGCAGTAGCTAAAGCTTAATAATAGCCACACTATACCAAACCTTCACAAACGTTTCAAAACTTTATTAAGGTAATATCAAAAGTAAGTAAAAACATTGTTTATAGGGAAAATACGAGCAGAAGAGCAAATGTAAAACATGGAAAAAATGCACTACCCTCCCCTGTGTCCCAAAAAACCCACCGAACCCTCCCCAAAGCTAAAAATAAAGTTTGACATCCCTCCCTTATTTAGGACCACCCTCCCTCCAGTAAATTTAGATATGTCCCTAAGCAAACACACCTTGGGACTTTGGCCTGGAATGTATTAATGTGCTAAAATAATAAATAGACCAATGAAAATGCAGATCAGATCTGGTTTTCCAAAGGGCCAGCTGAGATATATATTGCTATATCATCACCACCACCACCACCACAGACATCAATAGATAGTGCTAAAGCATGTCAAGCTCTGTTTTCCTTGCCCTGTAGACAGTGAACATTGAGCTATTGTTAATAAATAGGTTGATAATGTTTATGATGACTCATTCTCTTTATAAAGACCGAGGTAGGTGAAAAGGTCTGTCTGACAGAGAGAACCTCAGGATAATAGGGTGGAGCTCTCTGAGAGGTAATGTTTCTATAGAAAATGTGTATGGTATTAATCTCTATTCAAATGGACTTATGCTTACGGTGTTCTGTTACGATGCACCCTCCTGAACAGGTCCCAGCACTCACCCTGTAAACCCATGAACCATTAACCCCTAACTGTCTAGGGTGCCCTATACATGACCACAACAGTCTCCTTGACCTTGTTGATCCAAGACCATAAACCAACAGGTAAAAGGTAAATGCATATAACCTCATTAAAAAAACATTAACGAATACATTACTCTAAAAGTAATTATCCCCTAAGTGCTATTGGTCAACAACATTTACAGCATTTCTTAAACCAGTGATTCTCAACTGGTGGGTCACGGCCCAAATTTGGGTCTGGAGGTTTTGAATGGGTCCCGGATTTCTGAGTAAAAAATAAATAAAAATGTGGTAGAAAGTGATTAAATAATTTAATTTAATCTCTGAATGATTTATCACAGTGTTTTCAATATAGAGCTATTAGCAGCGCTATTTAGTGGATTTGGTTGATTTTGTGGTCTCAAACAAGTGAGCTTATTACCATTTTCCATCAAGAATATTATCAATATGGAATTATTAACAATGAAAAATGTTGTTCCCTTGTCATATAAAAAAATTATATGTGAATATTACTAAGACAACCTGGTTCAATTTGGGTCCAGACCCAAAACCAGTTGAGAACCACTATCTTAAACTACACTACACCCCGACTGAGAAAAATATGCTAACATTTAGGCCTACTCAAGCAAACTAGAACTCATTATCATTGAAAAGGAAAAGACAATGGAGGCCAAAAACTCCATCACTAAATTCCAAATCAGGCCAGCCTCTCCAATCTATAAAGCAGTAGTTTCAGTCCTAGCACCATAATCACTGCATCTGCTCTGCTCCCCACTACAATCAACTGCTGGGACTGGGAGGGAGCAGTATTAATCTGCCCTACAGTAGCTAGGGTAACAGAAACAGCTCTTCTACATATACTGAATTCTCTTAGATCATAATAACTCTTGTTATGATGAATGATGAGTAACGAAGTTGCTATGAAATTTAAAAAGGAGGTTTTAATTTTGTTTCACTACATTATCCAGGTCTACCTTGTGATCTGTGATTTATAACTAAACAATGGAAGTCTACACCAGTGATCGGGGAGTACTGTAGAGGAGTCATTTAGGCAGATTGTTCTTCCTGAAAGCTTCCATCTATTTTTCTTCTCCTTCTTTATGGCTAGAGGGCCATCTGTTTGCAATCTATACTGGGTTTATATTCGAAAGCGTATCAGAGTAAGAGTGCTGATCTAGGATCAGTTTGGCCTTTTAAAGCATAACAAATAAGAGGGAGGATCTGATCCTAGATCATTCCGCACTCCTACTCTGAGACGCTTTGTGAATAGGGGCCCGGGTCTAGAATTATATAAATCTATTGAGAGAGAAGAAAACTATAAGCAAACACACCTTGGGACTTTGGCATGGAATGTATTAATGTGCTAAAATAATCAATAGACCAATGAAAGTGCAGATCAGATCTAGTTTTCCAGATATATATTGCTATATCATCACCACCACCACCACAGACATCAATAGATAGTGCTAAAGCATGTCAAGCTCTGTTTTCCTTGCCCTGCAGACAGTGAACATAGAGCCTTTGTTAATAAATATGTTGATAATGTTTATGATGACTCATTCTCTTTATAAAGACAGAGGCAGGTGAAAAGGTTTGTCTGACAGACAGAATCTCGGGATAATAAGGTGGAGCTCTCTGAGAGGTACTGTTTCTATTGAGAATTTGTATGGTATTAATCTCTATTCAAATGGATTTATGCTTACAGTATGACTTCTTTGTTACTGGGAAAATCACGTTGGAGAAAGGGTAACATTGTATTTAGGATATTCTCTCATAATGCCAAAATGCTGAGGTCTTAACCTTCCTAGACAGGGTTAAGGCTAGAGTCAGGTGAAGGGTCAGGGCTAGGGTTAGTACCTCCATAGTCAAGAAGAGCACCACATCAGACTTGGACAGGATTAGGGCTAGGGTTAGGGTTCAGATGGATTATGGTCAGGACCAGGGTTAGAAAGGGATAGGGTTCCTACCTCCAGAGTGAAGGAGAGTACCACGTCAGACTTGGACAGTGTGTTCTCGTCCTCCTGACCCATGTCCATGATGGAGGTGTTGTGTCCTTTCTTCAGCTTCTGCAGTTTGAACTCTCCTCCCTTAGACACAGGCATGCTCTCCAGGTTGGCCATCAGCTGGTTCACCGACGCCTTCAGCTCCTCTATGTACATCTGCTCCATCTCCTTCGACACAAACTTCGGGAATTTGCCTCCCTTTGAAGAAGAAAAAATTGAAGGGTTTTACCATAACATAAAAATAACATAAAAGTTTTCTACTATATTTCAAGTCAGCTTTTGTGTCCATGTGGGCTGGTCATCCCGACGGAGCAAGACATTATAATAAGAAAATAAATGAAAATCAAATTCAAATAACTTTTTGTATTGTCAACACTAATGTGAATACATGTCATTCAATAGATTACCAGATATCGCCTTGAGTATATTCATTGTGATGTTAAGCTGTTTCTAGAATAATGAAGCTCTTGGGGAACTCGCATAGTGAAGCCGTTTTGATGCTTACAAACTGTTTATTCAGGTTTCTGTGTCGCTCTGCACAATGTAACCAGTGTGTTGATGTTGTTCTGCTGCAGTGTGTATAGGCTATCAGACTCACCCTGGCAATCTGATCGGCCATCTGGAGACGTCCATCCAGCTCCCGTCTGATCTGGGCAGCCTGCTCATCCAGGTTGTCCAGCTAGAGCAAGGTCAAACACAGGAAGAAATGTTTTTGGGCAAATATTTTTAAATAAACTTTTCCAGGTAATGGCACTCCCAAGTCTGGGTTTAATCAAGCAATGTTTTGACCCCAACTAGGCCTTCTTCAGGAGAACAGGACAGCAACACAGAGGAACGCATCGCACTCACGCCCAACTTTTCTAGAGATTGTTATAGTGTAGAAACTCAAATCCCTGCTCCCCATATTGCTGCCAACTTGCCAAGTTTCCAAATGATCTGTGTAACTTGTCTATTATTTTCCTTCAGTTTGTGCATTTATTTTGAATGCTTACTTTGTGTTTATCATGTGATTTACTGTATGCCGCCTCTCAAAGTTACGCTCGTGCACGCCCGCACTCTAAATCTAGGCATGGATGTGTGCGAATGCTCGAGAGGGGCACAGCCCTTTTTACCGCGGATTCTGTCATTTTGTAAATGTGCTTATTTGTTTGATGAGAACTCTAATATAACATTTACTGGTCTGAATTAGAAAGGCCTTTGTGAATGTGATGATGACTATTAGTCTGGTTTAAATGTTTGTACAGCCTCTGTGTTGGTTGAAAGAGGTTTGAACCAATTAATTGGTTATGTGCCCCCCTGCTTCTTGTGGCAATGATTTTGCCTATGGGGTGTCTCAAGGTATTTCTACCTAGCTGTGCCAGTCAGTGTTCGTGTTCTGACGGGGAGTGTGTCTCAACAGTAGGCCTAGACTACCCTTACCTTGTTTACTACAGCCAAATCCTGTTTTGGATTGAATTTCTTTTTCTTTTTATTTCTTTGGAGAAATGTGTTTGTTTCGCTCCGTTTGCCTATTTCTGTCATCATTATTCTTTACTCCAACCACTACCATGACTTTTCTAGGTCTCCTGCCTATCTACCTGCAAGAAATGGACTGCCTTCCTATGACTGCCAGACATGTTTACCCTTTCACCCAGTCCAGCTGAAGGATGGTAAAACACAGCGAATCAGCTCAGAGACAAGTCGGACATCACCTCACCACACGGTAATAATCAATACAATCTGCATTTTGATCCTACAGGGCCTGTATTCATAAAGTGTCTCAGATTAGAAGTACTGATCTAGTATCAGGTCCCCCATCCATGTATTTGTATCCATTATGATCTAAAAGACTAAACTGATCCTAGATCAGCACTTTTTGTAAATACTGGCTATGTCCCAATCATCTCTCCTTTCTGCCATAGTGTGCACTTTTTTCACTGCCCTTCACTGATTTTAATGGAAATAACTGGTATAAGAAATAATGGTGAAAACTCTGATAAGCCCATGCCTCCACCAATCCAATTATTTAAGATGTGGGGAAGTAGTGAACATACACTACTTCAGGAGAAAGGAGAGCTTATTGGGACGCACACATCGGCCCAGGAGGACATTACCACTGAGCTGGGCAATCAATACATTCTCCATTATGTTCCTACATGACCCCCAAAAGGCTCCTCTAGACAGCCTGGGGTCACGGAGTAAAAGGTCACCGCCCACCTCCCATGTTGATAATTTATCTCCTCTGATCTCAGGATGGGTGATTGGATTCACACTCCGTTAATAAATACTGTGTTGACGACTGACAGAAAGAAGGATATGAGGCTGACTTTAGTTATAGGGCTGGTTTCCTAGATGCTAGTCCTGGACCAAAAAGCTCTCTGTGTCTGGGAAACCGGCCCATACTGTACGTTTCTATGTAGGTACAAAGAGCAAATAAATATGGATAGCTATCTATAATTGATAATAAATCTCCCTAATCTCAGGATCAGTCATTGGATTCATGCTGTGTAAATAAATACTAAGAACGTCCTGTACACCAGGGTTGGGGTCAATATCATTTAAATTCAGTCAGAACTTAATTTACATCCTGAAATGACTGAATGAAAATGGGATTGACCCTGATGTGTCCTGTGCTGACTTGACTGACAGAAAGAAGCACAAGTGAGGCTCTTTTTCGTGCTATTTTTCTGTGTATGTAGAGTAATATATAAAAATGAATAGCCCTAGAGCACATGTGGCTAAACAGTGTGTGTGTGTGTGTGTGTGTGTGTGTGTGTGTGTGTGTGTGTGTGTGTTTGGGTGCTTATATTTGTTCTATTTCACAGATGTAAAAGTGTGTATTATACGCATGTGTGAATTGGACATTTGTTTTTTGCATATCCCAACTCCCCCTGAGACACCCTTGGAGTGTGTGAATGTGTGTGTGTGTGTGTGTGTGTGTGTGTGTGTGTGTGTGTGTGTACATACAGTGCATTCGAAAAGTATTCAGACCCCTTCCCTTTTCCCACATTTTGTTACGTTACAGCCTTATTCTAAAATGGATTAAATAAAAAATGTTCCTCATCAATCTACACACAATACCCCATAATAACAGAGAGATAAAAAGGTTTTCAGAACCTTATTTAAATATGTATTCAGACCCTTTGCTATGAGACTCGAAATTGATTGATTGGACATGATGGTTGAAAGAATTGTCCATAGAGCTCCGAGACAGGATTGTGTTGAGGCACAGATCTGGGGAAGGGTACCAAACAATGTCTGCAGCATTGAAGGTCCCCAAGAACACAGTGGCCTCCATCATTCTTAAATGGAAGAAGTTTGGAACCACCAAGACTCTTCCTAGAGTTGGCCGCCTGGCCAAACTGAGAAACCGGGGGAGAAGGGCCTTGGTCAGGGAGGTGACCAAGAACCCGATGGTCACGCTAACAGAGCTCCAGAGTTCCTCTGTGGAGATCGGAGAACCTTCCAGAAGGACAACCATCTCTGCAGCACTCCACCAATCAGTTCTTTATGGTAGAGTGGGCAGACGGAAGCCACTCCTCAGTAAAAGGCACATGACAGCCCGCTTGGAGTTTGCCAAAAGGTCCCCAAATGACTCTCAGACCATGAGAAACAAGATTGAACTCTTTGGCCTGAACTCTTTGGCAGGGACTGGGAGACTAGTCAGGATTGAGGGAAAGATGAACGGAACAAAGTACAGAGAGATCCTTGATGAAAACCTGCTCCAGAGCACTCAAGACCTCAGACTGGGGTGAAGATTCACCTTCCAGCATGACAATGACCCTAAGCACACAGCCAAGACAACGCAGGAGTGGCTTCAGGACAAGTTTCTGAATGTCCTTGAGTGGCCCAGCCAGAGCCCGGACTTGAACCCGATCGAACATCTCTGGAGAGACCTGAAAATAGCTGTGCAGCGATCTGCAGAAAAGAATGGGAGAAACTCGCCAAAAACAGGTGTGCCAAGCTTGTAGCGTCATATCCAAGAAGACTTGAGGCTGTAATCGCTGCCAAAGGTGCTTCAACAAGGTACTGAGTAAAGGGTCTGAAGTAAATGTGATATTTTTTATATATTTGCAAACATTTCTAAAAACCTGTTTTCACTTTGTCATTATGGCGTATTGTGTGTAGATTGATTAAGATATATATATATATATATACAGTGGGGGAAAAAAGTATTTAGTCAGCCACCAATTGTGCAAGTTCTCACACTTAAAAAGATGAGAGAGGCCGGTCATTTTCATCATAGGTACACGTCAACTATGACAGACAAAATGAGAAAAAAAAATCCAGAAGATCACATTGTAGGATTTTTAATGAATTTATTTGCAAATTATGGTGGAAAATAAGTATTTGGTCAATATCAAAAGTTTCTCAATTCTTTGTTATATACCCTTTTTTGGCAATGACACAGGTCAAACATTTTTTGTAAGTCTTCACAAGGTTTTCCCACACTGTTGCTGGTATTTTGGCCCATTCCTCCATGGAGATCTCCTCTACAGCAGTGATGTTTTGGGGCTGTCGCTGGGCAACACATACTTTCAACTCCCTCCAAAGATTTTCTATGGGGTTGAGATCTGGAGACTGGCTAGGCCACTCCAGGACCTTGAAATGCTTCTTACGAAGCCACTCCTTTGTTGCCCGGGTGGTGTGTTTGGGATCATTGTCATGCTGAAAGACCCAGCCACGTTTCATCTTCAATGCCCTTGCTGATGGAAGGAGGTGTTCACTCAAAATCTCACGATACATGGCCCCATTCATTCTTTCCTTTACACGGATCAGTCGTCCTGGTCCCTTTGCAGAAAAACAGCCCCAAAGCATGATGTTTCCACCCCCATGCTTCACAGTAGGTATGGTGTTCTTTGGATGCAACTCAGCATTCTTTGTCCTCCAAACACGACAAGTTGAGTTTTTACCAAAAAGTTATATTTTGGTTTCATCTGACCATATGACATTCTCCCAATCCTCTTCTGGATCATCCAAATGCACTCTAGCAAACTTCAGATGGGCCTGGACATGTACTGGCTTAAGCAGGGGGACACGTCTGGCACTGCAGGATTTGAGTCCCTGGCGGCGTAGTGTGTTACTGATGGTAGGCTTTGTTACTTTGGTCCCAGCTCTCTGCAGGTCATTCACTAGGTCCCCCCGTGTGGTTCTGGGATTTTTGCTCACCGTTCTTGTGATCATTTTGACCGCACGGGGTGAGATCTTGCGTGGAGCCCCAGATCGAGGGAGATTATCAGTGGTCTTGTATGTCTTCCATTTCCTAATAATTGCTCACACAGTTGATTTCTTCAAACCAAGCTGCTTACCTATTGCAGATTCAGTCTTCCCAGCCTGGTGCAGGTCTACAATTTTGTTTCTGGTGTCTGTTTGACAGCTCTTTGGTCTTGGCCATAGTGGAGTTTGGAGTGTGACTATTTGAGGTTGTGGACAGGTGTCTTTTATACTGATAACAAGTTCAAACAGGTGCCATTAATACAGGTAACGAGTGGAGGACAGAGGAGGCTCTTAAAGAAGAAGTTACAGGTCTGTGAGAGCCAGAAATCTTGCTTGTTTGTAGGTGACCAAATACTTATTTTCCACCATAATTTGCAAATAAATTCATTAAAAATCCTACAATGTGATTTTCTGGATTTTTTCCCCTCATTTTGTCTGTCATAGTTGACGTGTACCTATGATGAAAATTACAGGCCTCTCTCATCTTTTTAAGTGGGAGAACTTGCACAATTGGTGGCTGATTAAATACTTTTTTTCCCCACTGTATATATATATTTTTTTTTTCTATTTTAGAATAAGGCTGTAACGTAACAAAATGTGGAAAATGTCAAGGGGTCTGAATCCTTTCCGAAGGTAGTGTGCCTTTGAACGGGGTATGGTAGTAGGTGCCAGGCGCACCGGTTTGAGTGTGTCAAGAACTGCACGCTGATGTGATTTTCACGCTCAACAGTTTCTCGTGTGTATCAAGAATGGTCCACCACACATTGACATTTTAGTCATTTAACAGACGCGCTTCTCCAGAGCGACTTACAGTTAGTAAATGCACACTTTTTTAAATCTATTTTTTTTATACTGGCCCCCCGTGGGAAACGAACCCACATCCCTGCCAGCCAAACCCTCCCCTACCTTGGACCAATTGTGCGCCGCCCATGGGTCTCCCGGTCGCGGCCGGCGCGACAGAGCCTGGACTCGAATCAGGATCTCTAGTGGCACAGCTAGCACTGCGATGCAGTGCCTTAGACCACTGCGCCACACAAAGGACATCCAGCCAACTTGACACAACTGTGGGAAGCTTCAGAGTCAACATGGGCCAGCATCCCTGTGGAATGCGTTCGACACCTTGTAGAGTCAATGCCCCAACAAATTGAGGCTGTTCTGAGGGCAAAAGGGGGTGCAACTCAATATTGTGCAACTCAATATTATTCTTAATGTTTTGTGCAGTCAGTGTATACCTCTCTAAAGTACAGCTGGAAGCCTGGCATGCCATTCTTCACAGGCGTATTGTGCCACCATAAGCAATTAAGCAATGCTTCCATAGACTGTAAGGAATAATGCCTCCCTATAGGAGCATCTTTCTTGAGACCCAGCTGTAGTGGCTTTAAGGTCCCCTGTAGATTAATGTATTGTGCCGCCATACGTAAGTAAGCAATGACTCCCCATTCCCAAGACGTGCATCTGCCTGTCTGTCTGCCTGCCTGCCTGCCTGCCTGCCTGCCTGCCTGCTGCATGCCCCCCTCCATCATAGCTGTGTTTGTGTGTGTGTGTGCGCGTGTGTGTGTGCGCGTGTTGTAGCATTGTGACATGTCTACCCTCCACTCTGCCCACACACTCCCCCAGATCCCGCAGTAACATGATGGCTTAGCCAGGTTTGCCCTGTACAACAGTCACTTCCAGTCCTGTCACACATGCAGTACACTTACACCATAGGGAGGGACAGAGCTGCTAGCTACTACACACTGCTGCCTCCACTCTACTTACAGAGAACATGTGCAAAAGGCATAGAGGTTGATCTCTCTCTATTTGTGAAGACAAATAGGCTAAACGAGCCCTGTTGATAAAACAGGTGGCTTTATGGCAGTGCCATGTTACTGTTACCATGGTGGGTTGTAATGGCGTGTTATGCTGCTGAGCGGTTGTGTTGTGGCAAACCCCAGCTCTGCAATGTAACCGCTATAGAATGAAGGGAGGAAAATGTCTGCATGCAACCTCAAGAGAGGAATGTTGTTATAACTAGTGTGTGTGTGTGTTTGTGCTTGTGTGCGTGCCTGCCTGCATATGTGCATGTGTGTGCAACCACAGGAGAGGGGAATGGTGTTGTAACTAGATTTAGATTACAGAGGCCATGGGCTAACTGAATCACTCAAGCATGACGTCAGGTAGGCTCACAACAACCTGATCACATGACCCAGGTATCCAAGGCTCCTAACGGACGCTGACGGTGGTGGTGACTAAGGCGTGGAATTGCCTTGGACTGAAACAGTGATTAAAACCCATAGAAATAGAATTGCTAGAATGAAAATTCCTGATCGAGTCAATGGGTCTGTAATTCTGTTTCTATGAGTAAACCTTCTGTTTGTTCATGCAGCTGTTAGATTAGCTTGAACTGACTGACTGCATACCTGAATAAACACATTCAAAAGAGCATTTATTTTATTTTTTGTATCACTTCAGAACATTTTCACTTGATATTTAATTAGAGGGTTCACTCGCCTTTTGTGAGTCTGCTTTCATTCCCGAGGTGACTAAGACCAGAGGTATCTGGAGATGACGGCGATGTTTGTCTATACAAACTCAATCAATGACAAGCACAGTGATTCAGAAAATAGTTGACATTAGTCTGTGAGAGACTTCAATAACAGTTCTACACTGTGTGTGTGTTTATTAGGCACCTAGAGATTACCTTGTAAGTTAGAGGCATGGTAAGGTCACTATCGGGTTCATGCGTGGGAGCTAGTGTGGTTTGGTTCTGGTTAGATAGATGATATCTGAAGGAGGGCAGGGAGAGAAGCCTAGCGTCTGTTAGCCTAGCTTTCTACCCCAGAGTAATGTAAAGCAGAGGAATTCACAGGCTCCCTCACATCAATAATGAATGGAGAGATTTATATTAGCTGACTCTCTCTTCACCTTTCAGCAACAATAATGCTTTGACTCACTGCCACCCCCTCTGATGACTCTGACTGTGTCAGTCCGTCCGTCTGCCACTGAGGACACAGCAGAGCCCTTAGCACACATCTTGCAGACAGGGGCCTTCAGAAAGACAGACAGAGACAACGGAAAGGTCTAAAGCATATTAGGATAAATGAAACTGGGACTGACTTGGGCTTGCACTAGGGCTAGTGTGGTATTGTCTATGCTCTAGTACATTAACTGTAGTGTTATAGGGATGTATAGGAATAGAGCTATTGTGGACTTTTTCACTTGTTCTTTCTACTGTAGAATTACAGACATGTTCCATGATGGATGTTAGAGAGCATAACGGTTGTTTGATGGGTCTTTGACCCCCATCTGAGAGGAAATCATCCATCCAGGCAACACAAGCTCCAGCATGGCCTCTCCTGTTGAGTGGGCCTACTCTGCTGATGTGACGTCTGGTAGGGGGGTCTAGAAGCTCTCAGCCTTAGTCTCCTGCTGCTGAGACATGGCTAGTGTTGACCTCTCCTCTCTTCTGCGCTCCTCTCCTCCCTTCCCCTCCTTCTCTCTCCCCTACTCTCCTGTCATGTCCTCTCCTCCCCTACACCTTTCCTCTCCTCTCCCACCCTCCTTTCCCTTCTCTCCTGTCCTCTCCTCTCCTCCCTTCCCTCCTAATCTCTCCTCACCCCTTCTCCCCTCTCCTTTCCTCTCCTCACCCCTCCTCTTCTCTCCTCTCCTCTACTCTCCTCACCCTTCCTCCCCTCTCCTCTCCTCTCCGTCCCGTATTTCACCCACTCCTATTACATTAACCCAGTGTGTCTCTGAGGCTTTACTGTATTGATTCCCTGCTCCTTCCAGCAATCTCCTTAAAGAAAGAATGAGCTGCTACTAATGTGTGGCTGCTACAATAGGAAGGGAGGGGGGCATTAAGTGAAAGCTGCTGGACTGTTTTCAGACTAAACTGAGATGGAGAGATGTTGGAAGAGAGTATTGCCAGAGAGAAAGAATGGAGGAATAGAGAAGGACTGTGAGAGAAGGGAGGGGGAGAGCGGGGGACAGAGAGAGAAAGAACAGAGAGAGGAGGAGAAAAGGGGGAGATACCGAGAGGGGGAGACACAGAGGGAGAGTGAGAAAGAAAGAAGGGGGAAAGAGAGAGAGAGGGAGGGAGAAAGAGAGAAAATGGGGAGACTGCTTTAAGCACACTGAAGGATTTCACTTAAATAATTGAGGAAGCAGCACGGAGCAGTCCTGTCCTCTGATTAAAATGGACTAGGAAAATGCAGCCACTCTCTGGATGAGGTCTATGCTATAAAATCCCAACAATCCTAACGTCAGTAAAAAAGAAGCAACAACTACAATAATTGGTATTCTGCATTCAATTCAAGTATCCACTTCATTAACTTAATATAATTAAGTGGTTTTTAATGCATACTCTTTACCCTCTTACCAGTATTGTACAGTCCCTGTGCTCCTTATCCATATCAATATATGATTTTGGCATGAGATGCTTACACGTCAGTACAGCAGGGTAAAGTGCATTCGGAAAGTATTCAGACCCCTTGACTTTTTCCACCAGAGTTACCTCTGCTGCAGAAGATAAGTTTATTAGAGTTAACTGCACCTCAAATTGCAGCACAAATAAATGCTTCACAGAGTTCAAGTCACAGACACATCTCAACATCAACTGTTAAGAGGAGACTGAGTGAATCAGGCCTTCATGGTCAAATTGCTGCAAAGGAACCACTCCAAAAGGACACCAATAATAAGAAGATACTTGCTTGGGCCAAGAAACTCAAGCAATGGACATTAGACCATTGAAAATATGTCCTTTGGTCTGATGAGTCCAAAATGTGAGATTTTTGGTTCCAACGGCCATGTCTTTGTGAGACGCAGAGTAGGTGAACGGATGATCTCCGCATGTGTGGTTCCCACCATGAAGCACGGAGGAGGAGGTGTGATGCTGTGGGGGTGCTTTGCTGGTGACACTGTCTGTGATTTATTTAGAATTCAAGGCACACTTAACCAGCATGGCTACCACAGCATTCTGTAGCGATACGCCATCCCATCTGGTTTGCGCTTAGTGGGACTATCATTTGTTTTTCAACAGGACAATGACCAAAAACACACCTCCAGGCTGTGTAAGGGCTATTTGACCAAGAAGGAGAGTCATGGAGTGTTGCATCAGATGACCTGGCCTCCACAATCACCCGACCTCAACCCAATTGAGATGGTTTGGGATGAGTTGGACCGCATAGATAAGGAAAAGCATATGTGAGATCTCCTTCAAGCCTGTTGGAAAAACATTCCTCATGAAGCTGGTTGAGAGAATGCCAAGAGTGTGCAAAGCTGTCATCAAGGAAAAGGGTAGTTACTTTGAAGAATCTAAAATCTAAAATATATTTTGGTTTGTTTAACACTTCTTTGGTTACTACATGATTCCATATGTGCTATTTCATAGTTTTGATGTCTTCACTATTATTCTACAGTGTAGAAAATAGTAAAAATAATTTAAAAACCTTGAATGAGTAGGTGTGTCCAAACTTTTGACTGGTACTGTAAGTAATCAGACCCTTTACTTAGTACTTTGTTGAAGCACCTTTGGCAGCGATTACAGACTCAAGTCTTCTTGGGTTTGACGCTACAAGCTTGGCACACTTGTATTTGGGTAGTATCTCCCATTCTTCTCTGCAGATCCTCTCAAGCTCTGTCAGGTTGTATAGGGAGCGTCGCTGCTCAGCTATTTTCAGGTCTCTCCAGAGATGTTCGATCGGGTTCAAGTCCGGGCTCTGGCTGGGCCACTCAAGGACATTCAGAGACTTGTCCCAAAGCCACTCCTGCATTGTCTTGGCTGTGTGCTTAGGGTCATTGTCCTGTTGGAAGGTGAACCTTCGCCCCAGTCTCTGGTCCTGAACGCTCTGGAGCAGTTTTTCATCAAGGATCTTCGTTCATCTTTCCCTCGATCCTGACTAGTCACCCTGTCCCTGCCGCTGGTGCCAGGTTTCCTCCAGATGTGACGTTTGGCATTCAGGCCAAAGAGTTCAATCTTGGTTTCATCAGACCAGGGCATCTTGTTTCTCATGGTCTGAATGTCCTTTAGGTGCCTTTTGGCAAACTCCAAGTGGGCTGTCATGTGCCTTTTACTGAGCAGTGGCTTCCGTCTGGCCACTCTACCATAAAGGCCTGATTGGTGGAGTGCTGCAGAGAGGTTGTCCTTCTGGGAGGTTGTCCCATCTCCACAGAGGAACTCTGGGGCTCTGTCACAGTGACCAACGGGTTATTGGTCACCTCCCTGACCAAGGCCCTTATCCCCCGATTGCTCAATTTGGCCGGGCGGCCAGCTCTAGGAAGAGTCTTGGTGGTTCCAAACTTCTTCCATTTAAGTATGATGGATGCCACTGTGTTCTTGGGGACCTTCAATGCTGCAGACCTTAAATGCTGCAGACATTTTTTGGTACCCTTCCCCAGATCTGTGCCTTGACACGATCCAGTCTCGAAGCTCTACGGATAATTCCTTTGACCTCATGGCTTAGTTTTTGCTCTGACATGCACTGTCAACTGTGGGACCTTATATAGACAGGCGTATGCCTTTCCAAATCATGTCCAATCAATTGAATTTACCACAGGTGGACTCCAATAAAGTTGTAGAAACATCTCAAGGATGATCAATGGAAACAGGATGCATCTAGGCTCAATTTCGAGTCTCTTAGCAAGGGGTCTGAATACGTATGTAAATTAACTTGACATTTCTATCGCGGAATCTGTAACACTACAAAGTATTTAATCAGCCACCAATTGTGCAAGTTCTCCCACTTAAAAAGATGAGAGGCCTGTAATTTTCATCATAGGTACACGTCAACTATGACAGACAAAATGAGGAAAAAAAATCCAGAAAATCACATTGTAGGATTGTTAATGAATTTATTTGCAAATTATGGTGGAAAATAAGTATTTGGTCACCTACAAACAAGCAAGATTTCTGGCTCTCACAGACCTGTAACTTCTTCTTTAAGAGGCTCCTCTGTCCTCCACTCGTTACCTGTATTAATGGCACCTGTTTGAACTTGTTATCAGTATAAAAGACACCTGTCCTCAACCTCAAACAGTCACACTCCAAACTCCACTATGGCCAAGACCAAAGAGCTGTCAAAGGACACCAGAAACAAAATGGTAGACCTGCACCAGGCTGGGAAGACTGAATCTGCAATAGGTAAGCAGCTTGGTTTGAAGAAATCAACTGTGGGAGCAATTATTAGGAAATGGAAGACATACAAGACCACTGATAATCTCCCTCGATCTGGGGCTCCACGCAAGATCTCACCCCGTGGGGTCAAAATGATCACAAGAACGGTGAGCAAAAATCCCAGAACCACACGGGGGGACCTAGTGAATGACCTGCAGAGAGCTGGGACCAAAGTAACAAAGCCTACCATCAGTAACACACTACGCCGCCAGGGACTCAAATCCTGCAGTGCCAGACGTGTCCCCCTGCTTAAGCCAGTACATGTCCAGGCCCGTCTGAAGTTTGCTAGAGTGCATTTGGATGATCCAGAAGAGGATTGGGAGAATGTCATATGGTCAGATGAAACCAAAATATAACTTTTTGGTAAAAACTCAACTCGTCGTGTTTGGAGGACAAAGAATGCTGAGTTGCATCCAAAGAACACCATACCTACTGTGAAGCACGGGGGTGGAAACATCATGCTTTGGGGCTGTTTTTCTGCAAAGGGACCAGGACGACTGATCCGTGTAAAGGAAAGAATGAATGGGCCATGTATCGTGAGATTTTGAGTGAAAACCTCCTTCCATCAGCAAGGGCATTGAAGATGAAACGTGGCTGGGTCTTTCAGCATGACAATGATCCCAAACACACCGCCCGGGCAACGAAGGAGTGGCTTCGTAAGAAGCATTTCAAGGTCCTGGAGTGGCCTAGCCAGTCTCCAGATCTCAACCCCATAGAAAATCTTTGGAGGGAGTTGAAAGTCTGTGTTGCCCAGCGACAGCCCCAAAACATCACTGCTCTAGAGGAGATCTGCATGGAGGAATGGGCCAAAATACCAGCAACAGTGTGTGAAAACCTTGTGAAGACTTACAGAAAACGTTTGACCTGTGTCATTGCCAACAAAGGGTATATAACAAAGTATTGAGAAACTTTTGTTATTGACCAAATACTTATTTTCCACCATAATTTGCAAATAAATTCATTAAAAATCCTACAATGTGATTTTCTGGAATTTTTTTCTCATTTTGTCTGTCATAGTTGACGTGTACCTATGATGAAAATTACAGGCCTCTCTCATCTTTTTAAGTGTGAGAACTTGCACAATTGGTGGCTGACTAAATACTTTTTTCCCCCACTGTATCCAAACGTCAATTTTCGAAGTTGCTCCAAATGTCACATTTCTATATGTTTTTGACAGCCTGGGTTGCTCCTCCTGCTGCAGTTCCTCCTCCATTCATCCGAATGGTTATGGGTTAAGATTTGGCATAGGGTTATAATAAAAACAACTCCATGGTTAAGTTTAGGCATTCATTCCGAATGGTTAAGTTAAGGGTTCCTGTTTGGGATAGGGTTAAAACAAACAAACAAACGTTGTCCCTACTGGCTGGTTTTGAAGGCATTCCTGATGTCCTTGGGACATGGATGGATGTCCAATTTCAAAGTGAATCTTGAGCGACCTGACTGGCGCAGCCACCCACCCTGCCTGCTGTGTTTCACATGATGAGTCCCAAATGGCACCCTATTCTCTTTTTAGTGCACTACTTTTGGCCAGGGTCTATAGGGAAGTAGTGCACTAAATAGGGAAAAGGGTGCCATTTGGGATGCATATACAGAGTTCCTAGTTAGTAGAGCACATAATCAGAACTTTGCCACCAGCTGCAGTAGAACAGAATGTCTGCTCTGCCTCTGCATGGTCAGGGCTTTAGCCTTTCAGAGCCTCACACACACAGATATGTGAGCACACACACAAACATGCACGCATGCGCACACATACAGTGATGTCGCACACACGCACACAGCTTACACTCACACACACACACACACACACACACACAGCGCTGTCAGACAATGACACCTCAGCAGATAGGGGCTTCATTTGACACCACCTTTATCTGACTATTAGGATTAAATACATTTCTCAGGTAGGAATTTACCCAGGCAGGGCGAGGCTAATACTAAGGGAGTGTGTGTGTGGTTGGATAAAGTGTTTCCCCTGAGGCTGGCTGCTGATGCCAATCCTCTGCTGCCCGTCCATCCGAGTGTGCCGTGCTGAGTTGTGAGGCACTAAGGGACTGGTGTGTGTGTGTGTGTGTGTCTGTGGGTGCCTGCGTGCGTGTGTGTGTACAGTGTGTGTGTGTGTGTGTGTGTGTGTGGGGGACTGGTGTATATATGTGAGGCTAGCTAGTGACCTCTAACTGGACGGCATGGTGCAATCCAAGCAGAACTGTCACACTCACAGAGAGGGAGGGAAAGAGGGCCACGCCTGCCTGGAAACAGCAGCTGAGCAGGTTGTGTTAGCTGTGCTCGTCTGACTACATTCTGACAACATTCTGACAACACATATTCCCTGAATACAAGGACAATGAACGAGTCCAAGGTTGAATTAATTTGCTGGATACATTTCAGGCTCTGATGTTGTTTGTAGTTTTGAAGGCTCTATATATTTCAGTGGTATAACTGAAGTAGGTCACTGCTGTTACCAGCACAAAACAGGTGGACAGACACACATACACACACACAAACACAGGCTTCTCCAAGCTAAAACGTAACGCTCCCGCAACGTTAGTGGAAGTGACAGCCCCGCTGCAGCGAACACAGATGTGACGTTGCCTGAACGTTAGCCGAGTTGACAGCAGTTCAGGGGTGATGGGGAGGGGTGACGGTGAGGTGTGATAGGAAGGGGTGAGGGTGAATGATGGTGAGGGGAGGAAGGGAAGGGGTGAGGGTGAGGAAGTGGGTGACAGGATGGGTGTAGTTAACAGCACAGCTGATGACAGACGACTCCCAAGTGGGAGGACAAAGATGGAGAAGTGACATCAGACAACACACAAAGACCAGTGGTGACTTCCTGCCCCGTGTAGCTCAGTTGGTAGAGCATGGCGCTTGCAACGCCAGGGATGTGGGTTCGATTCCCATGGGGGGGCCAGTATGAAAAAAAATGTATGCACTCACTAACTGTAAGTCGCTCTGGATAAGAGCATCTGCTAAATTACTAAAATGTAGAGAGAGAGACTATTTATAGCTGAGCCTGTGATGCCTCTGTGTGTGAGAGAGAGAAAGACAGAGCCTCTGTTGTATGCAGAGCATGCTAATGAGGGAGCTCTCTGCCTGCCTGTGGCTACAGAATGTGCTCATCTCTATCTAGCCCGTGCTTGCCTCGTGGCTAGCTCGTATGCAGTGTGTATCTTCCCTTCTTCCAATCTGCATTGTGCAGATCCCATACCAGATTCCATGCAGTCAATCTTAACCCATGTGCCTTACCACATACACACACTTGGGCTGCACGATTTGGACAAAATATCAAATTGCACTATTTTGTTCCAGATATTGCGATTTTCAATGAATGAATACATACTGTGCTAACTGAATACAAAAACAAATTAAACAAATATTTTCCAACATTGTTATAGGCTACATATGATAATAGATATGATTACTACACCTACATATTAACAAACATACATTTTTTACATGATTATCAAAATATAGTGTGCTATCATTAATGAATGAATAATATTATGATTTCCTGTTTCCTATTTTACAATTTTATAAGTTAAATAAGTTAATTCTTTATTCAGGCAGCCATAGGCTGCAGATGGAATAGGAAGCGTATGATTGCGTAATAATGTATAAGTAGGCTCAATCATTATTATAATTGAAATTATAAGTCAAATTGCCTTAAAAACATGTAACACGTAGCACACCGGTTGCAAGGTGCAGCCTGTGTCCAAAACATTGGAGTCTGGTCCAGTCATTCAACGCGACATTCAATGTTTCAACTTCTCCCTTAATTTTGTTATACAGTGTGTTGGGATGGCGACTTGACAGAAATATGTGCAAGATAGAATCTCGCCTCCAGCTTGTTTATCATCTTCTTAAAGTCGTCTTTGGTGACTGTGTAAATAGGAACCATGTCTTTGGCTATGTGATAGGTCAGTTGTTCCCAACCTTTTTTGGTTACTGTACCACCAACTGAATTTTGCTCTGCCCGGAGTACCCCTGAAGTACCCCTCATGTGCATTTTACCAGTAAGCCTACGGTCTGATGAGTCTTCTTAAGTACCCTCTGTGGATAGGCCAAGTACCCCCAGGGGTCCTAATACCCCTAGTTGGGAACCACTGGGGTAGGTAATAGCCTCTGTGATTTCTATGTGTCTGTGGGATGTTTTTTCTTAGGGTGTTACAATTGAAAACGCATCGGTAATCAATGCCTGTTTAACGTAGGTGGCTGGTTGTGGCTAAGGGGCTTTGCTGCTGACGGGTGCTTTTTTTCACCATGCAAAATGTGGTAAAGTAGGGTATGGTTATTCTTCAAATGACTGAATAAATGTGTCGTGTTGCCTCTTTTTGTCGCCACAACTGTGAGGCACTTTTTGCACAACACTTGAATTTGGTTGACATCGGTTTGCCTGTAGCCGAAATACTGCCATACCAATGAAGATGCGCACTTCTTTGGCACGGAATCGACGTTCCCGTTAGCACTAGCAGCACTCATGTTTCCGACACACACTCAGAGGTAAAGCCCTTTCTCTCCTCTCTAGCATCTAACTGCGCGCTCTTAGTGGGGACGCTTGTGATTGGCCAGCATGTGCATGCCATACAGAGAGTGAGAGAGCCCGCTTGTGATTGGTCAGCATCCTCTGTGCATGTATAGTAGAGTGAATGAACAGAGTCTAGTGCATCTCATTGGAGGAGGTACCATAGTCTAGTTTTTGTTGTATTAAAGGACTGCCAAAGAAAGGAGAAAATAGCACGTCAATATCGCACTTTCAATCTGAATTTGATTAATCGTGCTGCCCTAACACACACACACACACACACACACACACCACTCTCCAATCTCCACTCCCACAGAGTAGCATGCCGGGGGCACAGGAAACAAGCTCATCCTTTCCCATCATGTGTGCAGTGAAGCATCTCGGCTCCAGAATCAGATCAGCTAGAGGCTGGAACCAGGAAGCACTCAGGCCTAATTCACCAGCTAACAGTTGCTGACGAAGCAAACTAAAGAGGAATGGGGCGGTGCCTTTCTCTTCCATCACCAGTAGGAGTGGGAGAGCTGTGTGTGTCTGTTTGTGTGTGGTGTGAGAGTGTTAAATTTAAACACTGTTCCAGTGTCTATATGGGTCAACACTTTTCAGTGTTAAAATAACACATCAATGTACCAGTGGTTGGCTGAATACCTGGGGCGCGGGGTGGTTGGAGTTGTCAACAAAGCAGCATGACAGAAATATAATTTTCAAACTACCGGTAGTTTCTTTGAGAAGCTATATAAAGCAATCTGTGATTTTGAACAACAGCATAAATACACCAATTTCACTTTTGCATGTCAAAAAACAAATGACCACTGCTGCACATGCTGCCACTGTTTTGATCAGATTAGATTATACAATTTAGAACGAGCAGCCAGCTCACAAAAACGAATGAGTGCACCAGGGAGAACGCAACAAGCATGCAGATGCAATAAGTGAAAACACATTATCTAACTGGGGAGTTAACATACTGTAACGTCACAAAGCATGATGCGCTAGTCAGTTAACTTTCATTCTGAAATAACTTCATATTTCTGAGTTAGTCAGGTGTTAGTTTAGAAAGACTTGAAATTGGCATGGGCGCTAACTAGCTAGCAAGCCACCAGCTTGCTATAGCTAGCTAGCTGCTTATTAAAGGTCAAAACGGGTTAATTTAACCCCCCAAAAATACCAAAATATTTCAAATATTTTCTCAAAAGAAGTGTAGCTGGCTAATTCATTTGATCATGCTTTGTGATACATATTTTTGCTTTAGCTCCATCTGTACCTGATAGAGCAGATCTAGTCTCACGTGCGGAAGTAAGCCGTCTGGCACGAGAGACTCATTGGGATGGAGACCTAGAAGTTCAGACTGAACGCACATGTGCGCGCCCCAGGATGGTCCATTTACTTTGTGCTGTTATAATTTATGCTAGTAAATCCTGTGATTTCATTGGGGCAGTTCCCCCTCATAGCAAATAGCTGGAAAAACAATCCCAGCAATTTTCACACGGCCTATGTGCCCGCGAAGCTGCTGGCAGTCACTGAGGGGCAGAGTACCGGTATTAAATAACTGAACAGCTTGTTTAGAACAAAATATTTTTCAAACTGGAAAATGTACACATTTACCACACTTTTATGAGCATAAAAAAATATATATATATATATATATTTTTATTTTTTATTTTTTTTTACCAATCACAAGTGGGGCGCCATCCCTAAAGCCCTAATGGGCGGGCCGCAACTGCAATGTACAAGCAAAAACAGAGATATTAAAACAAACATTCAAAAAATGTACCTGCAATAGAACATGCTGTGAATATAATAATGATGGGCATGGTTTTGGTTCAACACTGGTTATTATCACCCACACTGGGGTGCTTTTACGCCACTGAGTGTTAATTTACTCTTACAGAGTTACTTTAACTCATTAATCAACACTAGAAATTATACACTGGAAAATCAACACTAGGTAACACTGGCCAATTTGCTGTGTGCGTGCGTGCGTGCGTGCGTTCACGTGGTCCTCTGTAGCTCAGCTGGTAGAGCACGGCGCTTGTAACGCCAGGGTAGTGGGTTCGATCCCCGGGACCACCCATACACAAAAATGTATGCACGCATGACTGTAAGTTGCTTTGGATAAAAGCATCTGCTAAATGGCATATTATTATTATTATTATGTGCCCGTGCGTGTGGGTATGTGTTCTGTCTGTTGGCTGTGGGTTTGTGATTTGTTGTTTTAGAGTTAGAGGTTCAGTTTGATGTTGTCTGCTTTCTCTTACCTCCCTTTGACATTGCCCCGTGTGTATGATGCAGGTAATTGAATCAGCTGCCACTTGAGATTGGGAGAATAATTTCAGCCGGAGAGAGAGTTCATCCGTGCGGGTAAATATGCATGATCACACAGCAGAGCAGCTGAGTGAGGAGAGCGTGGGAAAAATGAGGGTTTTTCAACCAGTCAGCAACGTTGTTACACTGCATCATTGTATTACTGTATCAGCTTCACGCACCACCAACAGAACAGTTATTTTTACCCTGTTAATTGGTGTCATAGCACTAACCTGAGACCAAATCTGCTTTCATCGAATGCCTCTAGATGCAGTATTGAGGTTTGGCACTCAAAATGTTTCAAGTGCTTATCTATTTATATTAGAGGCATTAAGTGCAGCAGAAATGTCCTCTACTCTCAACCATTCAGGACATCTTTACTTGTATATGTAAACATGTATATGTGTTTCTTTATCTGCATATCTGTGTATGAATAAAACAGTCCATATTGAACCGAACCCCTTTCACAAGAAATGTGAAATCTTACAAAAGCCTTGCGATTCTCTGTTAAAATTATATTCCCTTCCTGTAGCTAGCACACGCAAGTGACTGTAACTAGCTCAGGCATTCTACATTTTAGTCATTTAGCAGATACTCTTACACAGAGCGACTTACAGGAGCAATTAGGGTTAAGTGCTTTGCTCAAGGGCACATCAACAGATTTTTCACCTAGTAGGCTCAGGGATTTGAACCCAACGGTCTTAACCACTAGGCTACATGCCGTCTCTCTCACCCACACACACTGTGGTGGTGGTGAAGGTACATCCTACGCCTCCGAGAGAACAGAGACTGTAAAGACTGCCAGCCTATCCTTCATGTGACTCACACAGCAACAATGGCTGAAGAGAGCTGAACATAATGTAAACTATTGTCAATGTGAACCCCACTGGCTGTCAAGGTCCCTCCTCCTGATAATAGCAGGTAGGGACTAGGGAGAGCAACTGTAAATTGATGGGAGAGCAACATTTCAGCATTATGATTATGCCATAGATTCTGTTATATAACTTTATTGTTGGGGCTAATAAATAAATAATGTGTCTTATGAATATGATTTTCCCCACTCAAGCCTCAATTGGAAACCCAGGCTATTGTCGACATGAACCCTACGCATCGACGGGAGAACAAAACAAAATAATAAAATCCTAAATGTAGCATTGTGAAAATGTCACAGATGAAATGCCAAATTATCTTATGTAACAGTACTTTAGAGTCTAAAATATAAAAATAATATTAATGCTATTCCTCCCACTCTCAATTTGAGACCCAGAATCTTCAAAAACCAAATTTGTCAAATGCATTTGAGTTAGGCTATCTTTGTGTACTTTGTAAGTACAAATACCTTAGTTACTGAGTGTATACTATTATTTGTTACAAAAACCATATGGGCCCTGTTCAAAAGTAGTGCACTATATAGGGAATAGGGTGCCATTTGAGACACAGTCTGTGTGTTATTTAATCCATATGAAATGTGATTATGTGAATAATATTAACGTTTGCCACATCCATCCATAGTGCCCATAACTGTTCAGCAGCACCCAAGCAGCCTTATGAAAGGAGCTGAGAGACTAAACTGTTACTGTGGCACAGTAGAGACAACACACTGTAGACACATCACACTGTAGACAACACACTGTAGACAACACACTGTAGACACATCACACTGTAGACAACACACTGTAGACAACACACTGTAGACACATCACACTGTAGAGACAACACACTGTAGACACATCACACTGTAGAGACACAACACACTGTAAACACAACACACTGTAGACACAACACACTGTAGAGACACAACACACTGTAAACACAACACACTGTAGACACAACACACTGTTTACATTTAATGATAAACAACCAGCAGTGTCATCGTTTGTAATTGAGTTACAATAATGCTAAAAACAGTATAACCACACCACTAAAGCTCAAAGCCATGTAGATAATGGGAGAGAACTGTCACTGAGGTGTGATTATCATCACATTTGTGATGACGTGTGATTATCATCACCTTCTGTGGCAACCTCTTCAGCAAGGCAAACGATCATCCAAGTATGTAAGATGGTAAATGTTAGTTAACATGTGAAAGAGATCTGCAAGGCCATCTCATCTCATGTCTGTGCGTGAGCACAAGGCAGGCAAAAGCACATTCATATTCTCTGTCTCTGACTGCGTTTGCTGAAGCCCGACAATTTCTGGCAATTATGTCTGATTGTGCTTTCATTAAATAAACTCCAGGTGGTGTATGAGTCGTCTACTGGCACAAACTCATTCGGAACGCCTCTTCAATGCCTCACGCCCCCGCAAGGCCACCTTTCTAGGGAGAAAATATGCCATTCAATCCATCACCATCAGAAAGGCTAAACTATGTGTGTTTGATCTGGATGGATGTGTTTGATAGAGTAGCTTGCTCATTGCTTGTAGTGGCTAAACGAACACACAAACTTGCGCGCACACACACACATGCACCTACACACACACACACGTGCACACACACACATACACACACACACACACACACACTAATGACTTTCACACGCCTCTGAGAGAGCCATTTAGTCAGGTCAAGCGGTTGTCCAACCCTGTTCCTGGATAGCTACCCTCCTGTAGGTTTTTGCTCCAACCCCACTTGTAACTAACCTGATGCAGCTGATCAACCAGCTTGGGGGTAGAAGCTGTCTCGAAGCCTGTTAGTCTGAGAGTTGATGCTCCGGTAACGTTTGCTGGACGGTAGCAGAGTGAACAGTCTATGGCTTGGGTGGCTGGAGTCTACATTTTCGGGCCTTCCTCTGACACAGCCTGGTATAGAGGTCCTGGATGGCAGGGATCTCGACCCCAGTGATGTACTGGGCTGTCTGCACCACCCTTTATAGCGCTTTGCGGTCAAGGGTGGTGCAATTGCCATACCAAGGTTACCTTGGCGCTCTTGGGAACAGGGACAATGGTGGTCAGCTTGAAACATGTTGGGATTAAAGACTGGGACAAGAAGAGATTGAAAATGTCTGTGAAGACACCTGCCAGCTGGTCTGCGCATGCTTTGAGAACGCGCCCTGGAATTCCGT